ATAATTTCTACGGGCGAGCAGTTCCGCGGGAGCGCGCAGCTGGAAAGTTGGGGCCAAGTTTTTGGCAAAGGACCGTGCGCCCTGTTTTCCCGCTATTCCAGACTCATTTGTCAGCCTGCAGCCCTTTAATTGGCCATTCGTCAAGTTAACTCGCGATGTATAAAAGCTCAAAAGCACGGCTGGCTGTTTAGCTAAGAGGCTGTTTTCGTTTCTGTTGCCGGTCGGACGCTGAAGCGCACGCAGCAATGTATCGAGTTTACACCACTCGCTTTCAGAAAAGGGTAGCCAAGGCAAAACAGTTTATGCAAATCGCCGCGCATTATCTTTCGTTGCACCGAGGATTAACAAATTACGAACGTCGGCTCTGGAAAAATGTGAAACACGAAAGCCCAGAAGTGGCATTAACGGCGCGCGTCCGAAGAGCGGCGCAGGAGCGAGCAGAGAAAAGCGAACTGGCCAAACCAGTTTCGCGTCTCGGCGCGGATTTGCGTGGCGGCGACGCTCTCGCGCGCATCGGCTAATTGAAATCTACGACTTTGAACTTGGAGCCCCGAAAGGACACGCGCGACGTGCAACGCCGGGGGAGGCGAGGGCGCGCGCCAATTAATTGTCGATTCGGCGAGCGACGCGCCGCGACGGTTTAAAAGCAGAAGCGCCACGGCCGTCGAGAGCGCGTCGGTGCGCCTCTCGGCTCGGCGCGGCGGCGAGGGGATCGCGCGGCCGCAGCCGCGCTGGCGTGTATGTGCGGTCTCGATCGTTTCTTGCCTGCCCGCTCGGCTGCGTTCTCACGCACGCGTACACGCGCGCAGACGCCCGCTTGCACAAGATCTGCGCCGCTCCGGCCGCGAGTCGGCGAGCTTTTTCCAGCGCCGCCGCTGCCGTCGTTGACGGATAATCTAACACAATTGAAGCAATGAATTCGCCTATAGCGCAACGCTTAGACGCGCGCGCGCGCGTTCACCTATTCGCCGGCTTCGTTCAATTGGCTCTCGCTCGCTTCTTCTGGCTGGCGACTGGTTTTTCAAAAAGGAAAACAGAGAAAAGGCAACGAACGCTCTGACCTACTTCGACATGCCGAACGTCGCGCGGTCGAGTTTACGCGTTTATCCGGCTGGCTCGCGCGCGCAGCTTATCGCTGGCGCTCCGATTTCCGCTGCTCGCGATGCGCCGAAAAGAGCGAGCAGCCGGAGGCTGCGCCAGCGGCGGCGAAGGGAGTTGGCGAGCGAGCGACAAGTGTGCGCGCATGCATGCAGCGGCGGCGGCGGCGGCGGCGGAGTGCTCGCGCGGTACCTCGAGGGGAAAAAGAGGTCGAGCGCAGACACGCGGATCCCGCGAGCGAACGGTCGAGGCGCGCAATTATTTCCCGAAAGACCGTGTGCAGCAGCGGCGGCGGCGGCGACGGCGGCGGCGGCGCCGAGTCGCCTCGCGAATTGTGTGTCGAGGTCGCACGCACGAAGCACACGACACCTCTCGCGTTGCGCGCGCGCGCGAGCGACTTTCCAGAGTCGATTGGCCGTGAAAAAAAAACTCGGTCCGTCTCTGTCGCCGAGGCTACAACGGCCGTTACGGCACGTCTAGCCTCCGCGCGCGCGCGTGAGGGAGAGAGAAAGAGAGAGAGAGAGAAAGCAGGATTTTTCGAGCTTTTCTTCCGAGTCACGAGGGTAATGGGTCAGCGCACGCGGTCGCGGTGATTTTCGAAAAGCACGCCGCCTGGACGCGCGCAAGGAAGCGGCAGCGAAGAGGAGGAGCCGTGAAAGCGGGTCGCGAGATTAATGGCCCCCATGAGAGAGAAATTGGCCGATTACCTGCCGCGGACGCACGCGCGCGCAGGCTTCGCCTTCTCTTTGCTTTTTATCGCACCCTTTTAGCGATTCCGCGTGGCTGCAGACCGAGGTCGATGACGCGCGCCAGCCAGCCGCGAGGGTCACGTGGGTTATCTGTCTCATTCGCTGGCGCGTAGTCACCTTTAAACTCAAGGAGCCGCCGCTGCCGGAGGAGTGTAGTAGGAGGGGGAGCGCAGGCGACGGACGGACTCGATGTGTGTGTGCGCTACCTCGCTTGCTCCCCGGCAGCCTCTCTCTCTCTCTCTCTCTCTATCTCTCCAACGCGCGCGCATGTGTGCGAGAGAGCCGAGACGAGCCAACGAGAACGCCGCTCGGCGATCCCTTTTTTTTCCTCTTGCTTGCCTTTTTTTCCAGCGAATATCTTCCTTCGTGCGTAAGTCCGACGAGCGAGCGCTTTAGCTTTTATTCGCGGCTCTCTGCATAGCCTTCGTCTCGAGCTTCTAAGAATATTCCTCCTCTCTCTCTCTCCGCTGCTGCTGCTGCCGCTACGCGATCAAAACGTTATCGTGGGATGCCAAGCGAAGATTAAAATTGATATCCAGAAATGATTGCGCATAGGAGAAGCCGAAAAAGAGAGAGAAGACTCGAAGAAAGAAAACATCTCCACGTGCGGCGCAGTCCGATAAAAGAACTCGCTCAACCTTGGGCGTCCAGTGGCAGGAAGCGAAAAAATAAGGCTTGATAAGAGCGCGCGACGACGCGATCGTGTCGGCGAAAAAAAAACAGCGAACGAGGCAAGGAAAGATTGCGAAAAAGGAGCAGTGTCGTGCGTGCGCCGACGCGCACTCCGCGTACATCATTCCCACGAGCTTGAAAAGCTCCGAAGCCATCCAATTTTCTATGTACTTACAGTGCGCTGCATTCTCGGGGGCTACGTCATGCGCTGGTTCTCTCTCTCTCTCTCTCTCTCGGTCGCGCGCTGTTTTTCCCAGCCGCACACGTTCGTCTGGCGGGTTCAGTGTCTCCCGTTCCCGTTGTCGCTCATCGCGGTGACTTCTCGCTGTTCGATTGCCAGTAATCGCGAGGAATGACCGATCGTTGGCCAAGGAAACGCTACCGCCGGCGTTGTCTCAATGCCTTCTCTCAGCCTCTCTCCCTCTCGCCCATGTCGGTCGTGCGAGCGAACAAAAGCATATTTTTCCTTTCATCGGGACTGTTTTCCGTTGAAAAGAAATCCTACACAGCCGCGCTGTGTAGGCTTACAGGCCGACAAACGAACGCCTCTCCTCGGGCTGCGCCGACAATTAGCAGCGCGCAATGACAAGAGCTCGCGCGCGCGCGGTAGGAGATACACGGCGCGGCAAGCGTTCGTCGAGAGAGCTCGAGCGCGCCCTCTTACGAAAACCGAGCGCAGCCCGCGCTGGGCTCGCCGCGCTTGCCATCCGAGCAGCAGGATCACGCTCGTGTCGATCCACGGCTCGTCGCGCGCCGTCTGTGTTGCGTTAGACGAGCGTGCACACCTGCGAGCACTCGAGCGGGCAGAGGCCGATGCTGCTCCGTCGAGCGCGCTCGTGCTCGCGCTCTCGGCACTCAACGGGATCGCGCATTGTCTGGGCGATCTCCCGTGAGAGATCGAGGCCTCGAGCGAGCGCGCCAAAGCCAGCCGGCTATTAGTAATATTGCAAAAAGAGGTGGGCGAGAGCGCGAGACGAGTCGCGAGTGCGGCGAATGCGTTACACGCTCGCGAATTCGGAGAAGCACTTAGACTCGCGGCGGCTACATACGTTGCGGCAGCGACTCTGCTGCCTCTCTCTCTCTCTCTCTCTCTCTCTCTCTCTCTCTCGCTCGCTCTCCGCGGCAGCAGGACTGTTGCAACCGACTGTCCCTCGTTGCTCCGGGGTCAAGGAAGGTAGAGAGCGAGGCTGGACGCGAGGCGAAGCTGCTCGAGGCGGCTCTCGATGTAAGTGTGCGACGCGCGCGCGTCCCGTTGAAGAATGCCGAACGTCGCAATCGCAAGCGACGAGGGGCCTTCCCCGCGCCCGCGCACTCGCGCGCGCACACACGTGCGGCCTTGGTCGATGAATAATGGCCCGGCCCGACAAACAAAAGGCAATAAAGCGCGAGAGGAAAAAAGGTGGCGAGCGCTCTCTCTCTCTCTCTCTCTCTCTCGCTCGCTGACTCCACCGTTGCCACCGCGACCCGAGCGGAATTCTCTGCTGAGCGACAAACAATTGCCGGCAAGTGGCTTAATTGCAGAGCAACTCCGGCGCGCGCGCACGCATACGCGGCCGAAGAAATCTTCCGCGAGAGAGGAGAACTAGAAGTCGAAAAGCGAGCTCTCCTCGGAGGAAAGCCTACGTGCGCGCTCGCCGAGCGACCGACCGAGAGATCCCCGTTTATCAAGCTGCATCCGCCGGAAGCGGCCTCCGTCGACGACAACGAGCAGCGTAGGTGAGAGAGAGAGAGAGCCGACTGCAAACTGCACTCTTCCGCCACTTTATGCCGAAAGCCCCGAATAATAATGCAACTCTTCGACTGTGCGCAAGGACGAAGCGAGGAATGCTTTCTCTATTCCTCGCTGCCTTCGCAGAGCCTTAATTAAACTCGACGAGCGGCGCGTCTCGGCGATTCTGTAATCGCGGCCCTTTGACTGCCCGTCCGCGCTCAGTTCGAGTTATCGACTCTTTTCTTCCTTCTGTTTCCCTTGCGGTGCGCCCGACAAAATAAAACAAAAAAAAAGAACTTGTTGCGCACACGTGTAGTCGTAGTCGAGAGCTAGATAACGTAATCGAATTAATACTTGCGTGTGAGTATGGTTGCCGCGAGATACAGCGGAGATGGAAGAGTTAGCATCATTTTGTCAACTGAATTTCGAGGTTTGAGTCTCGACCCGCGGGAAATTAAATATGATGATTCGCTTGGCAACATGCTGATGTTTTTTTTTAACACGCGGAGTCCGTGGTTGAAAAAAACATTTTTGTACATCGCGGAGATGACGAGCTACATGGATGAACCAGCGAACGATTTGCTCTGGGCTTTTTATGGGGAACGAAAGATAATACGAACGTAAATGAGTAGAGCTACTGCTCGGCAGTGTGCGCGTGCATAGGTTCGTACATTATTTTCCCTCTCACTCTCCGAGATCAATCGGGAGGGACGAGAACGTCAAAGATGGAGAGCCGATATTGAGTTTAGTATTTATTTGCTCTGTTGCAGGAGAACATCTCGACTCCGGAGCCGGCCGACATATCGGAGGACGATCACTATTCGAGTGAGCACACCCCCCCTTATTATGCATCTCTGTCTCTGTCGTTCTAGCGAGCCATAATTAAGCCGTATGGCTCTGGCGCTGCGCCGGGCGCGTCCGTACGTCTCTTACCTCTTTCCTCCGTACTCCCATCTCAAGGTCCGTCTCGGTAATGTACACAATTGATAATCGCAAAAGGACGGAATAAGCGCGCAACTCGATAAAGCCGCAGCCGCCAGTCTCTCCGATGAAATGTCAATATCCGATTAATCTGGTTTTCAAGTACTGCTATTCGATTAAACTGGCCATGCAGCCGGCAACCAGACGATTACGCGCCAATGAAATTCACACCGAAATCGACGCGGGCGCACGTGCGCCAGCCGCTTTCACTCGACTGCCTCTTTTTTCCCGGCGCCGCACTTCTTTTTTTCCTTTTCTTTTTGGTTTCTTTTTTCCTTTCGCGCTGACACGCTCGCGCGAGGTAGGTCAGGTGTGCGCGCAACCGATTAGGGAGACCGACCCGGATTCCAACGCGGCTGCTAGCCTCGATGCATTATTGAGCATCTCGCGCACCTTGAGTTTTCTCTCTGGCCGCGGCGAGATTTATCGCGGATAACGCGCTTGCCCGTATCTCTCTCGTGGCCGGCGAGACAGAAGGCCGCGCGCGATCGACGACGTACTCAGCGACGAATGCTTTGTGTTGGCTCCGCGGGCGCACAGGCGTACTGATGAAGGACGCCGACAAGCTGAAGCTCATGCTGCTCGCGTGGACGATGCAGCACCAGGCGCAGGGGGCGGTCGGCGCGCCGACTCTGGGCCCGATCCCGCCGGGCGTGCAGGTCAGCCAGGCACAGACCCCGACCACCACCAACAGCAGTAACCCCGGCGCCGCGTCGCCCGGCAGCACCGCTGGCGGCAACGCCGCCGCGCCCGTCACCACCGCCATCACCACGGCCAGCTCTGGCAGCCTCAACAGCGTCACCCTCACGGGTAGGTGCCGACGGCCGAACCACGCGGACGCGCTCCGCCCGCGATCAACGCTTATATAACCGAGACGTGGGATTTCTGTGGTCTGCGCGCGCGCGCGTTGCGAGCATTCCTGCGGTCACGGCATTCCGGCCTCTTTTGTTTCAACGAAGAGTTATGAAAATGCGCGCTCGGACCGAAGCGGCTTGGAGCGCCGCAGCCGCTCGCGGGCGCACTCGAGCACTCGCACCGCGGCGCGACGTCGCTCGGGTGGCCATCCGCGCACCTGCGATCGGCGCGACCGACCGCGACCAGTCGATACCCACGCAACGCGACGAGGCTAATGCGCTGTCGCCCGCAGAAGCACGCAACGGCAGCGCGGACATGAGCGAGCTGACCACGAGCTGCACAGCCTCGAGCCAGGCGAACACAGCCGGCGGCGGTGGCGGCGGCGGCGCCGTCGGCGCTGCGAGCAGCGAGGACATGGCCTCGCTCTGGGCCTCGTACACGATGGGCCTGAAGAAGACGCCGTCGCCGGGCTCGGGCACTCCGTCGCGCGAGCGCGAGCGCGAGCGTGAGTCCAGCCCCGGGGGCGGCGAGGGCGCGGGCAGCGCCCACGACGAGACCAGCAGCAGCGGCAACAAGGAGGACGAGGACGACGACGACGAGGACTCGGACGACAGGCTCGACCCCCGGCACCACGACCCCGAGCGCCTCAAGGCCTTCAACGTGAGCACGCCCGCGAGCGACGGCCCGCGAGCGACGGCCCGCGAGCGACGGCCCGCGAGGGGGGCGGCTGACAGCGAGCTAACCCGCGGCCTTGTTTTGCTTGCATGTCGTCCCGGCAGATGTTCGTGCGGCTGTTCGTCGACGAGAACCTCGACCGCATCGTGCCCATCTCGAAGCAGCCGAAGGAGAAGATCCAGGCCATCATCGACAGCTGCACCAGGCAGTTCCCCGAGTACGCCGAGCGCGCCCGCAAGCGCATCCGCACCTACCTGAAGAGCTGCCGGAGGAACAAGCGCGGCCGGGACGGCGCACCCTGGGACCCGGTGAGTACGCGCCGCGAGTTGGTTACCCCTCGAGCCAGCCAGCACCTGTGTCTAACGCGCCGGGTCGCTCGGCGTGTGTTTCGAACAGGTAAGGCCCACGCCGGCTCACCTGACCTCGGCGCTGGCCGAGCACATCCTGGCGATGGCGTGCGAGAACGAGAGCGATAATGCGAAGCGCATGCGGATCGGCCTCGAGCCGGTGTCGCAGCCCATGCCGACGCTGCCTGCAGCCACGGTAAGAGCGGCCGTACGAACGGCGTGCGCGCGCAGGAGGAGGTCCCGCCGCTGAGCGATAAGCTCGCCGCGGGGTCACGCACCTCTCCCACTTGCGGCGCGGACTGTTGCTCTCTCGCTCCGTGCCTCACGTGGCAGCGCGGCGGCCGCTCGGGCCGCTCGCCAGTCCAATTAACGGACAGCCCGGCGCTCGCCGCGGACGCAAACACCGAGCGAGAGTTTATATAGTCTGAAAATTCCTCTGCTAGCCGCGCGCGATAACCTTTGGCCGCGCGCCCATTAAGCCGACGTCCGCAGAGAGCTCTATCTCTAGCCACCTATACCACTGACGTCAGATCCATCTCTCGCTCGCGCTCTCGCTCCCCGCGATTCGTTCTCATTGTCGCGCGCGCGCGCGCGCGCGCGACCGAGGAAGAGGGGACCGCGGCTGAAAAAAAGACAATTGGGAATTCCTCCGCGGCTGTTACTCGCTGGCTCGCGCTCGCGTTCGGCTAGTAGTATCTCGAGTAGTGCGCCAGTTGCAACATGATCGACAAGTGATCGACTGAGTCCAAGTCCGAAATGAGGAAGAAGAATCTGCGGGTCGTGCACAAGCAGCTCTATCCAAGGGACGATCGCCGAGAGGTGAGACCGAGATCGCTCGCGATAGCTTTGTGCGCGCGCGTGTGTCGGCGACGGCGGCGGTGGCGGCGGCGGTGGCGGCGGCGGTGGCGGCGGCGGTGGCGGCGGTGGCGGCGGCGGCGTCTTCTTTGAGCGACGCGCGCTGCCGCGAGCGTGCATTTTTCGGCCGCGGACGCCCGATAAGCCAGCCGAGAGCATCGGTGTCGTCGTCGTCGTCGTCGTCGTCGTCGTCGTCCGATCGATATCTGCGTTCGCCCAAGCGTGAGCTCCAACAGCGGCTGGCGCGTGACGTAACGAGGGCAAATGCCATTGCAGCAAACGGACGCGCGAACGAGCCTGGAGCACTTCGCGAGCGGCGCTGGCACTGGCGGCGGCGGCGGCGGTGGCGGCGGTGGTGGTGGCGGCGGCGGCGGCGGCAGCGGCGGTGGCGGCGCCGGCACCCCGGTCAAGCCGCTGCAGATTAAGCGCGAGGCCACGTCGCCGACAGGCCTCACGTCGCTGGCGCCTCTCACGAATCTGGCCAATCTGCCCGGCGGCGCGGGCCTCGCCTCGGCGCCTCTCTCGCTCACGCCCACCTCCAAGCTGCTCGCCAATACCGACACCAAGGTCTTCATGAGGTGCGCACCTCTGCTCTGCTCTGTTCTCTCTGGCCTCTGCGCGAGCAGCGGCTCGATTCAACTGGCTCTCCCCCCCCTCTCTCTCTCTCTCTCTCTCTCTGTCGACAGCCAAGCCGCGGCGGTGAGCTCGTCGACGGCGAACGGGATCGCGAGCGCCGGGGCCGGCGCCCCCACGGCCATGTACAGGCCGAACTTCAGCCAAGCGTTCCAGCGCGCCGGACCGACGACAGTGCCGCCGACGCTGTCGGCCGGCCTCTACCCCACTCAGAGCTTCACTTCGGGCCTCCTCAGCAACGGTACACAAAGTAATATTCTTCATCGTTGTTGTGTCTAGCCTACAGCTCCTCGCCTTCCAGATTGTCTGTCGCTTATCGCCGCAGGCGCTTGCTTATGTGCTCTCACCCAGTGGAATAATCTATTTATTTGCTTAGGGCCAACAGACTTGAGCATGAAGAACAACGCGAAGCCATTACTGAGCCACAAGCTGAACGCGACGGAAATGACCGCGGTGAGGCAGCTGATAACGGGATACCGGGAGTCCGCCGCCTTCTTGCTCAGGTCCGCCGACGAGCTTGAGCAGCTGCTGCATCAGCAGCCTTAAACGACGACGAATCTCATTCTCGCACGCCGACACACGCATGCACACACGATACACGATAACTATTATTATGCTTGAGCCATCATCGGACAGCGCTCTCCTCTTCTTTGACTACCCTATCGCATTGCTATCTGCAGATCTAAATATATTTATTTATACATACATATGTAGGTACTACAGAAGGCGCCATAATATTATACAATGATATACCATCGATACAGGGTGTACATATACATTAATAGACACGTAAATTCTCAGGTTATTTACTTAATGTAACGAGCTAATCTAAGTGTCGTTTTACGTGCGAATGAGAACCGAGTGGCTGCGAGTGTGCGATCAGCTTTATACGTAGAAGAGCAGACTTGTCCTCTTCTTCACCTTACATTATTTTTTTTCTTCGTTAACTATACGTGCGTTCGTTTTTTATTGATTTATATTACGTGTTATGGACCTTCGAGATTTTCATGTTTTTAAAAAACAAAACGTTGTTTATTTACGTGGATGATTATTTTTCTTGGCCATTGCCCTTTTCCCGTGTTATTATCGACGATTGGCGCGCGTTATTCCCAATTCTCAGTCGTGTTTTCGATGAGCTTTCAATACAATGAAAACGCTATGTATATAAGAAATCAGCGTGTAACTTAAGGGGTTCGCGTGTAGTGCAATTGCTAAGGCGCAACGCGAGCGCGAGCGAGTGACGGGGGCTGTGTAGCTTGGCTCGACCATATTCTGTGGCTGCGACAAGATGGCACGAAAACTATTAAAAATTAAGGCGAAAATTATCTCTGCAGACAGAGTCAGCAGCGCGACTGACCAACGGGATGAAATTGAAAAAATTATTGGCAAAAATTATTGCTTGCGACACGGCGTGCCAAGTCTCGATGAAAGGCAAACAATCTCTCTAGGTGTTTCGATTAAACGTTCGGTAAAACTATTTTGGGATTCATTCGGCATTTTTCGCTATACTGCTGGGACCATCTTGTCACGATCGATGTAAAATCAAGTGTACGTGTGCTTTATTGGTCTCCATAGACATCACAATGCTACCAAAGATAATTGCGAGTTGATAGATTATCTATTCTAGTTCTAGTTCTATAAGTCGTTCGAATGGACTCCTCTTCTTTTTACTTAATATGTATTCAACTTCTTTGTTTGCGTGATTTCAAATTAGAGGAGGACGCAAAATCATATGTGCATTTAAACTCTCGTTCCTGTTTAATTGTAAAACGTCAGTACTTCCTTATTAGATTTAATAAAAAATAGAACAAGCGACGGAAGGTAAAATGAAAAAAGACAAAAAAAAGAACAAAAAAAAAACAAAAGAAGACAGTCTCGATCGACACGACGGTAGTTATTTTATTTTTATTTCTTATGTTGTTTTTTGTACATAGTTTAAATAACGTAAAACATAGTTACGTGTATATTGCTACTGTGGCGTTAAGATTATTAAAAAAACGGATGAGTGATAAGTCAGAGTTTGCATTGAAAGGCTTCGGTGTGATTGTATGAATATACATGTATATATCAATTTAAAATAGCTTTAACAGAAAACAAATGATGCGATTGTGATGCTCATATTTACATGAAAGACAAATGAAAATAACTGAGGGATACATTCCAATGTGAATAAAAAAAAGGCACGAAAAACTTTGTCCGAATTATAACCGTACTTTAAACACACCCCGAACAAAATAAAGGAATTAAATAAAGTAAAACTTTTGAGCTACTTCATATTGTTGAACTACGTACTGTAACGATGCAAACTCACGAGGTAATAACGCAATGGATTTCCGTCAATGCAGCAACAGCTTTTTACAGTTGATTTCTTTTTGTAAGCTTTTATTTTACAGTCAGAACAATAACCAGATACTAGTACTATGCATATAATAACTACACAGCCGAACGCATACTTACCGATAACGATAGTCTTACGAGTGCGTACTATAATCCGCTTCGAGTATAAGGGCTTTTATAAGCGCAATGATCTTCATAATCTTATACTACATCGAGTCACCAATTTGTTTTTGCTTTTATCTATAGATTTTCTCGGGTTTTCCATGGCAAGTTAAATACGAAGCTCATGTTCCTTTCAGTATCGCTGAACGGTAACGCATTCTCATTTTTTTTTACTTTGACTTACATTTTTTGACGACTTAATATAGCAAATTTTTATTGTTGCTCACATCAACTGCAGTAAATGTGAATTCGTCGGTTGTTTCAAACATCTAAATATAAGTGTACAATTCGTTTATCAACATTGTATCACTGATTTTCATGCGAGTGCCATTAGGGATGAATTTAAAGGTTTATCAGCACGTTTATGATTGTAATAATAGGTAAAATAACAATAAAAAAAGCTGTACTTCTGTGATAAAACCATTCATGATTATAAACTAGATGCAATTTTTTCCAGAAAACACTATGCCAGTGCGAAAAAAGAAGTACTATATGTTACAAATTTTTAATTGTGATGAGAAAAAGGTGAATCACAAGCATTTAAATCGAATTAAAGGAGCGTCACGGCGAAGTTGAGTAAAAAAAGGGTGATAATTTTACGGAAAGTTTCACGTATACAGAGAATTGAGTAGATTGAATAAATGGATAATTAATATATACAAATAAGAAGAGAATGATTTTTTAAAATTCTATACATTTACTGCAGCGCAAAAGAAGTCAAAACTTTACATTCAAGCGCAAAGTACTCTTTGAATAATTATGTAATAAACGCATAATGCGTACAGAAAAATGAACACATCCGCCGATGTTGTATTCGCGAATTGATGTATATTTATTAATATAAAAGAATATGTATTTGTTCCTAAGAAAAATATTAAAAATAATTAACAATAGATATAATGAACCTTAACATTAAAAAAAGATAATGATAAAAATAATTTGATGGTACATACTTTTCGTATAAGAAGTAATGATATTATATAAAACTAGATAATTATTATAAAGTTGGTACGGTCTTTGACGATGCCTTGCCTGTAAATGTAGTACCATACAAATACGTTGAACGAAAACAAGAATCTTATTACCTTGTAAATGTTTTACCAAATATAATCAAATATGCAATACGATAGCGCTTTCATCGCCCCCCTCCCCCTCCGTATTACAATCCATATTTTTGGTTAAAAATGAACCGCTATAGAAAATACAATAAACAAATTACAGGGAGAATTTTAGTTTTTATTTTAGAATTCTTTATATTAACATATTTTGAAATATTACATCAATTTTTTCACAATAAATGCTTCTGACTCTTCACTTTAAAATAGTAGGCTAACAACGTACGGACTTGTCGACTTTAAAAATACATAGAGTAAGTTTTAACAACTTTGAAGTATTACTTGTAAGACGGAAAGTATAAATAATTATCTCGGTAACTGTTTTAATATTATCTTTTGCAATGTAACAATAAGTTAATTCGCGACGATGAGATAATGATTCGAAATGTACGTGTATCTATAGCTATTGGAACTTCAGCACGCAGAACGAGTATGCGCTGAAGGGAATGCAGCACCTTGCATTGGTTTTTGGAAGATCCTGGAACCATGCTCATCAAAAATATAAATAATAATATCTCTATTTATTTAGATATTTTCTTCGATATATCTTTTGTTTTTATTATTTCTTTTCGTAAAAAGTAGATTAACTCTAAATATATGTCTCTACAAATGGCCCTGGTAAAAATATTTTCCCATTAAAATGATGAGAGAGTAAAGTCGAGTAGAAATTCGGTATAAATTATTGCACTCACTCGTGTATCGCTTGCAGTAAAAGCTGTTTACGGCAATAAAGAAAACTAATTTTTCTTTTCATCCGTCATCGACCACATCATGGCCGTTCTTCGTTTGATTTTTCTCTTGTTTTGAAATCGGGATTGTTTGCTTCTGTTATTTTTCAATTGTACTTTCGTTAACGTAAATAAATCTGAAAAAGGCGCGTGAGCGAGCGGAAAAAGTCATTAAACGAGGTCTCATCGTCGAGTTTAGGCACGAATTTTTACCAGGGCTTTTACTATTTTTACAGAACGAAATATCAGACAAACTGGACCTAATTTCTGTGATCATAATATCTGCAAGTTCGCTAAGAAAAGCCGATGAATTGCGAGGATGACTGATTACGATGATTGTTGACGCGAATTCACGAGAGTTGTCTTGTTTACATTATAATTAGTCCAGAGACACCGACATCGACATTGACTCTTTTTTTCTTTATCATTTTTTTTTTCATTTACTTACGTTTATAATTAAAGGAGTCGCGCTAAGTAAGGACATCTATTCCCGTCGTTACACGTTGATATAATTTAACTTGTATTTGTGTGTATTATGTGTACGTTGGATTACATGATAGATTTCATTTGGCCTTTAATAATTTGTCGTAATTATTTATCAGACTTTTCTTGGCGATTTCCATCCGAGAGCTCACGACAGAAAATATAGTGCACGAGCATGCCTATAGCCCAGATAACCGTCCGGTATCGATTCCTCATATGTTGTTGCTCGCGTACAAGTGATGTAAGAATGGTGGTGGTAACTGATAACAATTAGACATACTGATACATACGCAGTTGCACAATTGGGGTTATCGTGGGCAATAGGAGCACATTGATGACACCCCGAATTGCGAAGATGATCACGATACTTTCATTTGATGTATTCATCTATATGGGCGATTGGGGGTTCTGCGTGAGGATGATCAATGATAGTGGGACTTGCATTTGATGAAGAGAAGAACCGAACAATGAAATGCGATTGGACGCGAAAACAAATGAGAGAGAGAAAGAGAGAGAGAGAGAGAGAGAGAGAGAATAACGACCGATGGGCCGTTGACTCGATCACCGTTATCATTGTTATCGGCGTGTTGAGTTGATCGACTGATTAGTAACTGGCATGGGATGGAATGTCGGATGATGCGTGATAGGTGTTGGCGGATCTAAGCGGCGGCAGGCGCCTCGTGTCCAGCACGTACTCGATGCGCTGCGACGAGGGGTTTAAGCAACAGGCCGGCGGGGCAGTCGCGGAGGTGGACCTACGGAACTGCCGCGGCAGCAGCTGGCCCTCGTAGTAGGCGTTCGCCGGCCGGTACAGCAGACGGCAATGATCGCTGCGGATCTTGTTCTGCTTCGCTTGTGCACACAATCTTCTCTCGCAGGCGCGTCATGTCTAAGCCATCTGCTCGTAATTGACCTTGTTGATGTAGCTCGCCAGGCAGCAGGCCAGAACGACACCCAGCATCGGGAACACCGCCACCCCCAGCGCCGAGCCCGCCACCAGGCCCACGTTGCCCTTGACGAAGTCCACCACGCGGTTGTAGCAGCCCTGTAAACAGCCACAGCCCGACAGCTCGACAAGCCGATCGATCGACGAGCCCACCTCGGCTCGCTCGGGTACCTGCGTGTAGATGTCGTCCAACTCGATCTGGCTCTGGTGCTGGCACTCGCCGTAGGCCACTTTGCAGCACGACTCCGGCACGTACTTGGGCGGGCTGAGCTTCTGCCAGTCCTTGTAGTCCCGGTTGCCGCAGCATTGCAACTGAAACAGCCAAGCGGTCGATCGAAGCGGCCGTGTACGGGCGTCCGCCTGGCGCACGGCTACTCACGTTGGCCTGCATCAGGTCGATGTGGCGAGTCTTGGGGTCTTTGTGGCCGTGCACGTCCACCTTGCCGTACACCAGCATGCTCTCGTTCAGACCCTTGTCGAAGCTCTTGGTCAGGGCGTCGCGGTAGGTGTAGACCGCAGCCCCCGCGGCCAACTCCAGCAGCGCGATCACCGCCAGGAAACCGCCGTACTGCAACAGGATTGGCGCGAATTGAAGACAAGCTCGCCGCTGCCGCGGCAAACGGGGTGGGGGTGGAGGCGAATGGCCCGCGAGAGACACACGACCTACATTGTGCTATTTGGATCGCCTGCACTTCTTGTTTTCTTAATGAGCGCAAGCTCGGCTGTTTTCCCGCTACCCGGCTAACTGAAATTCTCACTGATATTAACGCCCTCGTCGGTTCGTTGTACTCCGGCTGCGCGTGGATCGAACTTATTATCGATCGAGTTAGCGACGAGCGAACAACTAGGGAGTCCCGCCAATTTTAACTTCGCTTGCAATTCGAAATCAGTAGCGTCAATGATAACGGTATTTGCCGTGACAATATCATAAAAGCTGACTATAGCGACCGATTCAAAACTCGAAGGATCAAACGATGCGAGGGAACGGCAAATAAAGATCAATCCGAACCGAGTCCAGTCGACTGTTCGCCCAATATTTACAATTAACATTACGACAGGTAATTGTCAATGTTTCACAGCAGGATTTATAGAAGCTCGTCGTTTAATGTAGAGGACTCTATCAGTGAAGTAGAAGAGACACGCCAGTATATTAAACATGGCTAAGAGTGGACCTGGACAAGCAATGAGTTCGCGAAGGTCAGTTGATATCCCCAAAGACGAAAACGCAAGATATAAATTCACAAGTAGCACGCGTTCGCTCGCGGGTGTACGTTGTCCACATCGCTGCACGAAAGGTGCGCGTACTCTCTTTGTTTGCGTTGTCAGTTGGGGGCGCGCGTGCACGCGCGATGTAGGTTACGCAAGTTCAGTGTATAACGAGGTCAGGAGCTGCAGAGCCGATGGGAGGGATGGTGGGTTCGAGGCTCCGCGTCGTCGGCGTCGTCGTCGTCATCGTCGTCGACGTCGTCGTCGTCATCGTGGTCAACAAGTAGTTCGTCCTATTGCGCGGCGTTGAACTGGGATCGAGCGACAGCGCTCGGGGCGAACGTGTACTCACGACGTAGAGGAGCGATGGATGCTGTCGGACGATGCAGCAGCAGGCCAGCAGGCCCACCAGCGCGACCAGGGCGCCGAGGCAGGCGGTCGCCAGCAGCGCTGCGTCACTGTTCTCCATGCCCAGGTCCGCGTAATTCTGCAGCTGGAGCTTCATATAAATGCCCCCGCCCAGCATCACCAGACCCGTGCACTGCGTGATAAAACCGCCGGACGATTGACTGCATTGCTCCGGGCTCTCGCGAGCACGGCTTGGTGCGTTCGATCTGGGCAAGCCGAGCCCGCGCGCGCTGCCTTTCTCCGCGCTTACTCACCAAGAACACGAAATTGAAGAGCATGAGCAGGACCGTCATGCAGGCCAGAGCCGCCACGCTCTCCAGTTGCTTGGCCATGCTGCTGGCGGGCTGTGGACGAGATGCTGCGCAGCGAGACGGTGCTACGAACGACTGCGAGATCCGCGCTCGCGGAGGCTCAGCCGCAAACTTGGACTTGACGTAGTTGCTATCAGAGTCACTGCTTGCTGTGGGCTCTACCTCTACATAGCTGCCGAGCTATGTTCGCGCTTGTGTGTATGTGTGTGTGTGTGTGTGTGTGTATGTGCGTATCGTGCATGCTCTGTCCAGATCGATGGGGAAACGCGCGCGCAAGCTCCTTTCTCCCGGACGGAGCAGCTTCCAGCGCAGGCGCGTATCTCGCCACCGCCACCCTCGTGCGTTCTCCATCGGTCCGCCTTGCTCTCTCTCTCTCTCTCTCTCTCTCTTTCTCTTTCTTTCTGCGTGTAAGTTGACTTTGCGTATGGGTGTAGGTATCTGTGTGAGGCGACCGGAAGTCGTTCGCGGGAAAAGGGACGATGTCGATGCGCGGCGTCCGCGTTACATAAGCCGCGCCAGCGGACCGCAAGCTCTCTGCTGTCTCGCTCTATTGCGCCGTCACCGCCGGCAACTGGCGGAGCTGCAGATGCCGCGGTCTCCTCAGACCCGTCATCATCATCACGTTGTTGTTGACCTCGTCCTCGTTGATGACGCTGCGGCAGAGCTGGACCTCGCCCATGCGCTGGCGCATATCCGATTCCTCGGCGTCCGAACCCTGTCCACAGGCTGCGGCCAGCTGGTCGAGCTGCTCGCGAAGCACGTAATCCGCGTCGTCGAACTCCTCGAGGCCGTCGTCGTCCGAGTCCAGCTCGTCGAAGTCCGAGGAGAGAAAGTCGCCGCAGTCGATCGGCGCCGATTTGGCGCTGCTCGGCGTGGTCACGCTCGCTGCGTCGTCGTTAGCGTCGTCGTTTTTGTTGCCGTTGAGCGCGCCCGAGCGCTTCTCCGACCTGACGTCGCCGACGGTCTTGAAGTAGATGCTGTGGTCCATGCCGTATGTCTGCAGGCAGTCGCTGTCCAGGTTACCGTTGGACTTGTAGTCGAGGTTGGCGCAGCAGCGCAGCCGCGAGCGCTCGGCCGCGGCCGGTTGGCGCTGTCGGGTGCGCTGCCGGAAGCTCGGCGCCCAGCGGCCGCCGTCGACCTGCAGCCGACTGGTGGTCTGGTTGATGCTCCAGCGATTGCAGTCCGGGCCCTCCTCGTTCATGGTCATGCGGCCGGCGGACAGTCGGGCCGATCGCAGCCGATTGTAGCCGCGCGCGTAGGCGGCCCATCGCTCGAAGCGCTGCAGCACGTTGTCGGCCTCCTCGCTCCACCAGACCGACAAGTTCTTGGGGAAGGACAGCAGGCCCGAGTCCTCGCTGGCTACTCCCATCTCGCCGCTGCCGCTGCCCTCGAGCGACTGGCTTGACTTCTTGGCAAAGGGTTACGTTCGGCCGCCGCCGCCTGTCTGCCTGCCTGCCTGCCTGCCTGCCTGCCTGTGCCGCTGACGCTTGCTCGCTCGCTCGCTCTCGCACACGATTACGAAGCCCCGAACGGCACTGCTTAGCATTAGCACGCGATCGTCGCCTATATAGCCGCACCGACAGCCAATACCGCGCCGTGGCCTACTAAAGCCTTCCTGATCCTGACCTTCCCGCCGAACACGCCGTCGTCGCCACTCGCTCTCGTTATGTCAGAGCTGTACTTTATGTGTGCTTCTTCTGTTCGATAATACGTCGTAACTAGGCTATACGACTCCCGCCTGCACGGCTCGCATGCGACCTGACCCAGCCACTTTTCTCCTTTCCGTCGACTACTTGCCGATCGCTGCGCCCGAGATCAGCGCTGGCCTGGCTTTGCGCTAATCTTGTTACAACTGTCACGAGTCAAGGCGAGATTAGACTATAGTCGCGCGCTAATTGCACGGCAATCTAAATCACTGGCACTGCCAACTGGAAACAACGCTTACTTTTCTTTCGGTCACATCGTCACGTCCACGCACTTTTCGCGTTACCAGTCAAATATTTACGTAGAAATTCCCAGTTTACGAGGGTCGCGGCTTCGGGAAAAACCCTGTTACGACAGTGACTGCGTCATTCCAGCGATGCAAATTGAATTACTATCGATGCGAATCGAGTGAGAAATCCAACGCGATCGCGCGCGAAAATTCCAGTGGCAAATTCGCATATCGATCTCACGATAGCCGAGTCGGAAAAATGATTCTTCGGCGTCGATTGATGCGGTCGTCATTGATTTCGTCGCGGCGCTCTCGTGTTAACAACTGACGCTCACGCAAACTTCATTCCCACCTAGAATACTCGCTGTATCGATCATATAACGTCAATACGTTGTGTTTTGCAATGCTTCTAAGGGTTGCATCGTTTCGTGTAACTACGAAAAAAAAAACTGAAAAAATGCATGGTGTGAGATATTCGTGCGTCTCGCCCGTTTCGATTGGCATTGAGAAGCTTTATAAAACGTATTACCAAGTCAAGCTACGTTATGCTTAATCGCGTTGAATTTCTCCACTAAGTTCGTCAATTTAAACTGTTTCGTAACCATGTAACTTCCTTCGTCCTTTATTACGCGGCACTAGATCGACTTTCAAATAATTTACATGATTAGAATTGTTTAATAATTAAGAGTTTGATTATATTTCAAACATTCCACGATGAATTTTTCTGAAACGATCTTAAAATAACAATTATAGTGCATTTATGATGCATGAAAAAAAAAGGGTTCAATTTTAGTCAAATATAAAACATTTGCATATATCCACTAGTACGTTGTATACGCTCTTATCGCATTCATCGTATCTGATTAGAATAGCTTGCAAGTAGGCGCACCTTTGTACAGCACTTATACGGCTGACGCTAATAGACTATATACACGTATAGTTATTTTCATCGATACTGACCTTTACTAATTTTCTTTTAACCATCTTAAAGAATCATAAAAGTCCTTTTCTACACAAAACCACTTTAAAAATTTCAAAACTATCGAATCTGCATTGTTTCATATCTTTCCTCAAGAATTAAAGATCAAGTTTTCATAAGTGCATTTCTATAGAAAAATATATTCTAGTTGAATATTAATTGTTACTCTACTTATATCTTCTTACAACTTCAAATTTGCATTATATCCAATTCATACGTCGATTTCAAAATTTTCAAAAACAAATCATCAAAGCGACAGTTGAAGAAAACTTTCGATGAAGGTTGCAAGTCGATAATTTACTCGTAATTCATTAACATTATAGTTAATATCTATGAATTGTAATTTTGAGTCTTTATTACGGGTTCATTAAAATCTTCAATGTTACAAATATAATTCATGTAATATGATTCTCTTCAAAATCCATATAGTAGTTAAATAATTCATATTCAAGCACTAGATTTTTACAAAAAGCTTTATTCTATTCCTGATTCAACAACATGATAATCAAAGATAAAGAACGAGTGAAAGTAGGATGAAATAACATTAAAAGAGCAATTGCCATTATGTAGGTTTTTATTAGACAGTACAATTTTCGGTATACAAGATTGAAAGGTATAGAATTGTAGATACTGTTTGTATATAATGTGAAAAGCTTGTACTATTGGTAGATTATGTAATAATAATGATAATGATAATAATAATAATATCGAGACCCAGCTCGTTAACTATCTAACTGTCATTCAGATTTTCAAATCCAAATCACCTTCAGTCATAAAAAATATTTATAAGAAAATTTTTAACAAGAGTCAATGTAACTCGAAAGTATTTACATGATCATTAAACAATTAAATTTTCATCATCAATAATAATCAAACACAAATTATAAAATAAAAACAATAACTATTGAATTACTTACTTTTGTGTATTCAAATCTCGATTGACACTTTCTTTTTACTCTAGATTTTTATATGTACATTAACTTATTATTTACAAAATGATGAAATCTTGACTCACAATTTAACAGGTACATTAAAGAGTTTTGCTTTCTTTGAAAAAGATAAATTGAATGTGGTTAAACGCACGCTTTGTTTCTGTAGTAATTAAAAGCTTCATTCTACAAAAGTCGTCATACTATCAAATATGTGCTATATTGAGATAAGTAAATTCTCGATTTTGTTGTAAATACCAATAAGACATTGGCCAGGTTTATTAAATTTATAAATGTTACTCTTTTCGGATTCCCCGCCCCGAATCAACAACGTTTTGACTTTAATTGGTGACACCATATTTACATTGAAATACATTCAGCATTCGTAGACTAGAAGAAAGTAGAGTACTAAAGCATTACAAAATGTATCATAAACTTTTTTTATTAAGTTTTTCAAGTGAAAACCGATGAAATCCTTATTAAATCTATACAATCCTTTAAATCATGGACTTTTATCCCAAGATTCTTCTGATTCAAATCGTATATTAATCTAATGAGCGGTACAAACGAAGTTTGTGCTGCGCTAATTTTGAAATAGGCTAAAAGTCTTTTTAACCACGACTATATTAATAATCCAAAAATTATGGATGATCAGTCTCAGCACTATGTACTCAGAGAATATCAAATTTTGCACTATAATTATTGTGGTAAAGTGTGTAGAAGAATATAACAATAAATATTGAATATCTGTTCAAATTAAATCGACTGCTTATAAAATGGTGCAAAATACCTTTCTTATCATTTCAATATATACACTCAAAGATTTTTCCTTGTATTCAAATTTCTTATAGAAATATTAAAATCTTGTAATGTCAAAAACTCTTTCTAATCTTTCTTTTTCTATAGAACTCATTACTGTTTTTATTTTCATGAAATTGTTAAGCACATAAAAATTATTTTCCATAAACTATTTTGGACGTCTTATGGGACAATATTTGGAAGTTTTACATCAAGGCTGAGAGTAATCCTACTGTTTTGCACACGTACTGGGTGAATTTTACCAAATTTGTAATTATATAAAGTTAAATAGCTTACAATACACTATTCGAGTTTTATTTCTAGAACTACTTTAGAAATGCAGCTGACAAATTACAGCTGACATTGTAAGACCAATCAGTACTAGTTATTTTTTTAAATTGGCAAACTGTATGGCAATAATGCAAGTCATTAAAAAGCAAAACGTGAATATACAAAGAGAAAAGACAGTAAAGTTACAAAAGTTTGATTAAAAAACTCATATCACGTAAAGACAAACTGAATAAACAGTTACAACTATAAATAACGTAAACTCCATACTGTCGAAATAATTCGAATTCAGTGAGAAATGATAAAGAACATTATTTTTTAAGTACACCTACAACGTAAACATAAAATCAATGTTTTATAATTATTATATTATTTGCTTTTATGTTATAAATTGCAAAAGTTTATGATTTATAATTTTTTTAAATTTTCTTAAACTTTTATGTATATTATCACTCGGAAATTATCTTAATAAATTTATTTGGTTTTAAGTTGAAAGAACTTTTTGCTCGCAGTTTGAAGTTTAATGATAAAAACAGGTAGTTATACCTACGATCGAATAGATGAGAGGTCAAGATTCGTATAAAAGACGTTGATAGTGTGGAAAGATTTCCCACGTCGGAAGATGTAAGCCGAATTCAAGAGCCACGAGAACTGCAAATTCGGATGTCAATAAATCTTTGCGATTTAATCGCAATACATTTTCCGTTCTCTGAAATTATTCGAATAAATAAAATAATACCAGATAAAATTGGATCTAATTACAAACATTTTGTTAGAAATTTTCATACCTCGATAAGCGATTTCAAGACTTGGCCCTTAACATCATTTAACTTAGCAGCGAGTAACAGGCAAGCACCAGCACATAACTTGCGAGTTTGTTTTGTAACGATATTTCGCAAAATGAGTTTTTCAAAATACACGTATGCCATAGCTACTGTTAATAAGTCAATTCCATTTTCCATTTTAGCAATTTTCCTCATTTCACGTTTCAAGCTGAAAATATTTTTTTCTTAGAACAAATAAAAGATTTAAGAATATATTCTCTAACTCATTATTAATGTACCTTCGTAATTTACTTAAAGTCAGTTGAATGTGTGGAAACTTTTCTTGAAATTTGTCGTTCAATTCTTTTTTCAAATCTGACGGGCGTACGTAATCTATAACCGAAGCCTGCATATAAAAGTATTAAAAGTTATATACTCGTCTTGTTAAGTCAAATTATACATTGAAAATATGAAATTACCATGTATGAAGTGAACGTGAGTAAAGTCCTGTGTTTCCCGGCAATTAATTCGGGATCATCTAATAAATTGGGGTTATATGGAAATTGTTCATCCCACTCATGGACTAAAAGTGAAAATCATAAATTGAATTATAACGTAATGTTAAAGAATTAGTCATTATTCGAATCACGTTACCTTTAGGATCTAACACAATAGGTGGAGCATCTGTTACGTGCTGTATGCGGTTTGTAGCAATATCATATGACAAACACCTGAAACCAGAGAAAACAATTATGAAGATAAATATAACTCACATGATCGATGTATTGTATGGATAATAATGCATTGAAAAAATGAAGAAATAATAATTATTGGTTATATAACTAATAATTAATCGCATAATTTAAATACAATTATTATTTCTTTAATTTTTAGATACGATTTAATATACATGAACTGAAAACTAGGCTAATAGTGCAACAAATTTACAAAACCACAATAGCATTCGTATACGTCAAACCGATATGTAATTATCATTGTTTTATCATCATAAATCATTTCACATGAAAAATACAGCTATTCCAAAGATAGCTGTACATAAATAATTTTCTCATAGAATCTTATGAATAAAATTGAACATATCACACATTCACTCTTTTGAATATAGAAATTTGAAATTGCTTGACAATATTTTGTAGTAAAATTTGTAAATTAAGATCACTTGAAAGTTTTCATTGAATTAGTTCCCGGCTGACTGAGGGCATTAATCTTCATCAGTCTAACATTTATAAATCATGTAGCCATATTCAAATATAAAAAATGTACTAACTATAATAACTTCAATATTCTTAAATTTGCAAAAGCTAAAATCCATAATTGAGTCTTAAATTTTTTCTAGATTTGATTGAAAATGCAGATATAGATTGCGTGCGATAAAAGCGATACTCTGGTCTCTGATAAGTACATGTGACCACTATTTTATCCAAAATACTATACTGAAATTTATTTACTGATATTCATCAAAACAACTGTTACGATATGAACATGCAAAACTGACGATACCAAACTAATAGTTGAATACTCATAAAATTTTCATTCAAAATTAGTTTCTTCAACGAAATATTCCAACACCCTACTATTTATAAAAAAAAAATGATTTTATATTGTCAAAATATTTCATAGTTTTACCACTTCGTATGTTCTGGATTCCATGTAATAGTTTTCGTCCTGTAATTTTTAACAAACCGACATGAGTTGTATGTTCATAAATTCAAATTTGAAATTCATGCATTTTTTAAATAGCTTGCGCCGCATATTTCTTAAAATAGCCAAATTTTGATTACAAAACTATCAAACAAACACACTCTTGATATTTAATGGCACAATATGAGATAAAATAGAAATTGCTAAGAAAAGAGATTACGTAAACATTATTAATTTTGTTTTCGTAATATTTTGCGTAAAAGTCAATCTCTTTCCTGCTCGCATTGACACACAGTAAAAACGTGACAAGCAAAACACAAAGATTTAATCACTGAAAAAATCATCATTCTTACCTTGATACAACGTGATGTTTATTGCTGGATGAAATGTGCATTAACTCGATAGCTTCACTATCACTCATGTGCATTTTCTTTTCCTTTTGGAATTGTGATGATGGTTCCAGTAATTTTCTATACGATATCTGTTGATCATTTTGGGCCCTTTCGATGCCCAACAATCCAAAGGGATCAAAATTGTCGTTGATGGATGATAAGGGCCTCGAGGTGATAGTGTTTTTTCTGCGCCCGCCATCTTTGCGCAGCTCAGACCTAAGTACATTCAAATAAATTATAAAACGTATATATTATATTTTGAAAATGTAGCTGTGTTTAATAACAAAGGTTTATATGCGTCTGATTTGAATAAATGCATTGATTAAAATTTGCGGTTATGCGTTGTTGAAGTATGGAATTCTACAAGAGTCTATTTGATATATGTTTAGGATAGAGCCAAAAGTGCCAAATCTCTATCTACAAAAGGATGATGTCCTACAGAAATCACCAAAATACCTTTTTAAAATTGGATTAGTAATGGAGAGATTTTTGAAGACTGGAGAATTAGTTGCAGTATTTTGTAAGCTACCATAATAATAAAAATAGTATTCAAATTGCAGTTATTCATATTTTAAGATTTGGTGCATAACATGTTATGTTAATGTGGTATACATTAATCACAAGCTTAATAATATAAGTTGATAATGTTGTTATATACTAACCAGCTAGTGCGTTGTCCTTTGCTAAAGGGAAGTGATGAAAACACTAAAAATGGTACTTTCTTAGAAGATACTAATATCACTCGGTCATCAGTAAATTTATGACCATTGATTGGCTTTTTCATAAAACGCAATTCTCTTGAAACCTCTGGAATTATTCCATTATTCATACAACCCGTCTGTGGATTACTAAGTGCTTTAGATTTTGATTTTGATGATTGTGATAGAGATTTTGTACGCAATGATCCTATACTCTCATTACTACTATTATACTGATTTTTAATATCTTCTGATAAGGTTGAAGTTTGATGAGCAATCTTCCTTTTGAAATGCAAGGAGCCAACTCGGCGTTCAATTAAACAGTGCTCACTGCCTGTAGTGCCAGAGCTGTAGAAAAATAAAAAATTAAATTTAGACTAATTTTTGTATTATACAGCATGGTTAACTCTACGTTTGCGTATTATAAATATTATGCAACCAGATAAGTAATAGGTTTATAAATAGAGTTAATTCAATTAGTTTAATTAAATATAGGATACTTGGCAATACTGAAAGAGACACTGATGAAAAACTAAAAATAAAATTTCTGCAACCTGTGGTATTGTCTCAAAATGAAACGATAATATTTAACAGTAATTTTTTTACTTTCAAAGTCAGCAGCTGAAAAGTATAAAGATAATATAACTGTCAAGTAATTAGTCTGTCACTTGTCTTATTTTTACATTCTTTTGTTCTTATTTCAAGTAACCAACAACTTGTTGGAGATAGTTAGTTTGTTACTTTTGTTCAAATGTTAAAATATAAACTGAAAAATGTTTTTATAGTTGATGATATGTAAAGATTCAGATATTTACAAATACATTGAGCTTCAATAAAGCAACATAGTATTCATTGATAAGTCTTGTTATTTGTTTGTATTATTTACCGTTCTCTGAAAGAAGCATGATGAGATGATAAAAGCAGAGGACAGTTGTGTTCTTGCTCTGGCAAGTTAGTAGCTGCTTTTGATGGTGTTACAGTTGCCTCTGAATCAGAGCTGAATGACCTATCTTGCACTCGATTGGGAAGTGCTACAGGCTGAGGTGAGTCATTATGTTTTCTTGCTTGATTAGTATTTTCATCACATGAACCAACTAAGGCTTCATTCCTAATAGTTTCTACATTTTCTTTATTTAGTTTCGATTGCACTGGTTGAACCTCACTGTTTTGATTATTAGATGCACCGTTTCGAGGAAGCAACACTAGTCGAGTATCCCTGTGACTTCCATCCAATGAAATATTTGATAAAAATGTAAATGCAGCTAATCTTCTTCGAGAGTGATTTCTCCTTATGGCTGCTGCCATTCCTTTGTAACAGTGACAAGTTAATAAGTATTTGTTGTAAGAGTCTGTAACAAAAGCACACAGATTAGAAAATAAAAAGATAACAGATAGTTATGGCCATAATGTTTGTACAAACATAATTAAGCCCATAACAAAGTACACAGACTAGAAAATAAATTTGAAAGATAACGGATAGTTATGAGATAGTTACGACTGTTATGCTTGTAGAAACATAATTTGCAAGCGCAAGTTAATCAGAGTGACAATGGAAGTAGTTTCATAATCTAGATATTTATTGAAAGCATATATCCTTGTTTTTTTGAATGCAGTACTATAAAAAAAAAGGATCTAGCAGTTAAAAATCTAGTGACATAATAGTTTCATTTGAGTCTCAAAAAATACGACGATGGCCTTCAGTTTTGACTTTTCATAGCGAAAACTATCTATATCGCCTATATCTACATATATTTACCTGCCTGAGTTTTGAATAATAATAATAATAAGTAAAGACAGCTTGGTGTCGGGCAGTAGTATCCGAGGTGGAACGAAAACTAAGATCACGATTCATGTTCACTCAACAACACGCACTTAGTTCTTGAGTTTATAAACAGAGGCAAAGACTGCACACACAATTGCAAGCCCTTAAGATACGTTGCCATTGTAGCCTCTGCTTTCATAAGATATCACGCAAATACTCTTATCAACGGCACTCGTACGAGCGTCTCAAGTTCTGTATACTATGTAACAACACGATCAATCACTATCACTGCACACTACAATGCTCGAAACTACACGTCTAAATGATTTGCACCCGGGACACCCGGAGAGAGCCTACTTCTCTTCCTTTTTTCTTTGCTCGCTCTCTCTCTCTCTCTCTCTCTCTCCTCTATCTTTATCCTTCTTCAATGTTAGCAAACAATGAATGCGCACGCGCCCTGTTAACTCAAAAAGGCGCTCGATATAATTATATATATCGAGTCATAGGCCTTAAAAGTCATTGCTCGAAGCTAAATTTGTGCATTTTCGTTTCGGATTTTTTTCCCGCACCCGTCAATGATTGATAGTTATCTTTTAACTTGGAAATTTTGTTGAAATTTTAATTGATTGTTAATTGTAACTGTTTATACATGTTTCCATTATGAAACTCTAGACTTGGCGATAAAATTCTTAGCCATCGTCTTAGATCACGTTAAACCTGTATCGTCATAAGGTTACGTATACGAATTATATATATATAATCATACTAATGTGAAGTTTAAATATAGAAATTACTTATAAGTGACTGTATTTAAAAAGTAGCGCATGCGCTTAACTGCCTATTATAGCAGAGCACGATGGATCAGTGTATAGAGTTGGATAGAACGTTTCATGCTACTGGAGCGTATGGCTTATGGGGACTCCAGCGGGGACCAATGATTTTTTTAAGAAGCGCATGTGCAAAAATTAAAATTAATACCGTGGCTCTGGTGGTTCGGATCCTATCTTAATTTTTAGGTTCAGTATCCAGTGGGTACTATATTCCTGCCACTTCTTTTACTAAATTACTAGAAAAGTAGTCCGAATGCTTCTGGAGAAGAGCTCCTCGGCCTTTCCCCCACAATATATCTACAATATAATAAAATAATAAAAATCATGCTTGCTCATATTGACATCGGCACCTCAGTCAGAGAGCCACCGCCATCTAGTAAACTAAACTCAAGTAATCTAAGATTACAACCCATACGAGCAGAACTTAACCTTCATTGAACCTTCATGTAATCATCTGACAATCATCTGTAATAACAAATTATGTACACAATGCAGTGCACGAGTTTCTAAACAATTATGTAACAAATTTTACATAACATAGAGTATATTAATGTCCTTTGAAAATGGATTGCCATAGAATCTTAAAGTTATTGACAGATTTTGGCGAAAGTAAGCAAACATTTTTTAATTTTTTTTAAACATTTTTTGTTTCAAAGTATATCAAGTATTAGTAATTCACCTGTAGTTTTAAAAATGAAAAATATATTTTGCAGGTACAAGTAGTACTGTAAATGATGAAAAGTTAAGAAATATTTCAGACTCAGTATTATTGACTTTACCGCTAAATATTGTGGATGAAATTGAACAAAACAAGAATTTGGCTAATATTTCCAATGATACTGGGTAAAATATATATTTTATAACGTATTAAAAATAGTTATAATTAATGTTACATCATTGTGTATATCTATTCTAGGTGGCATTATCTTCATTTACTTCTATATACTCTTATCAAACTCAGTAATAATGAATTTGCAGAAAAGAATGCTATTTTTACTGTTGAACAATACCGCATTGTTAAGACAGCATTTGAAATATCAGCTTGCATTGGAATTTTACCTTGTTTATTACCTCACATAAAAATTCATACCTATACTATGAGATCGAAAACATTTATATTGGATTTCAATTTGAATGATGCGATCGAGGTAAACATTATATTGTATCTTAGAGAACCCTTAAAATTTTCCTAAATTTTGATATTGGATTTTTTAATAAACAATTTTTCTTTATAGAAATATAAAAGATTATCATATACGACAACAGTTTTTCTAGAACTGTTTGGCAAAAATACATTCCGTGTAGCGGTAATGTCTAAATTAGATTGTTTATTAGTAGCTTTATTACAATTATCACATGCACCGCTAAAAAAACCTACAGATAATCAGACAACTGCAAATATTTCAAATTCAGACTTGGAAATGACACCTCTGCTGTACCAACAATTGAAAAATGAGCAAGAGAGTTTTTACAACAAGTTGCAATATGTTGTTGAAAACTGTCCTCAATCCTTATTAATAAAAGAACTAATGGTGATTTTGAGTATTAAAAACAACCCAAAATGGCTGCAAATAAACATTAAATGTCTCTTAACTGAAAGAATTATGTTGCCTAATGGTATTACTGCTCTTACATTAGCAATCTGCAATGACGTTTCTGATTTAGGAAAGTGTTGGGATAAATTAGATATTACTGCAAAACTCGTTGCTACATCACATGGATCAGATACTGAAAAATATTACAATTCCATATGTCCACAGGTATTGCAGATTAATTTTTAATTGAATTATCGCGGTAAATCGAAAGACTAAAAAAGAAGTTATGATACTCTTTTCAGATCTTGGATCTTTTCCATTCAAAAGAGAATACTCAAGCTATTATAATAGCAAATGCTTGCATGAAAGCTTTACATGATTATAATTCAAAAGTATGTATTGAAAAGATAATTAATGTTATTATGAAACCACTGTTAGTAAAATGTGATTCTCATCTAAAAACTTTTGCTATAGTTAAGACTGAAGAAGAAGTGTCTCATTGTATAGAAAATTTATATCAACTATTTTTAACAACAAATGCCGAATTTAAATGTTTACCACTATCCCTTTTATTACCAATTTCATTACCACTATTTTATTTATATGTTAAGTCATACAAAAGCATTTATGTTTTACGTAATCAAGTGCGTCAATTAATTTTAAAAATGTTAACGGATGAAACGACAAGAGAAATGTTATTTGCAGTATTTTTGAACCATGAAATCACTAATACGTGCGAATATGGAGAGAAATTGAATTTTTCCTTTGGAATAAATGGTGCCTTAGAAATCACTTCAAAGTCGGAGCCCATTGACTATGAAGAAATAACAGATTGTCTTTTTAATATAGTTGAAAAGGATGAAAATTTTGCATTTAGTTTATTTAGGTATTTGTTAAAAGTTTTGCCTAACATGAATAATGCTACAGAAAATGTAAGGAAAGGAAAACTATTAGAAATGCCACAAGATTTAGAAGAGAGAATAATGAAACAAATTTTTGCTGTAAAATTATTGACATTATGTTCAAATTCAACTTTGGTGCAACAAGCTGTATTGAAGAACCCTGAGCCGTTTTTAAATTTAATCAATTTTTTTTTCTCAAAAACTATTGCTAACTTTGGAAATGAGGATTGTGTGATGCATGAACAAGATGCAAACACTTTATACACAAGTTTGTTATTCATAAAAATGATTATAACAGACTGTAATGTACAAAAAACTTGGGAAACATTTCAAAACTTCACATCGACTATAAAAAAGGAATTTGATTTAAAAAAAGTACCAGCACATGTATTTTCATTAATTGACGAAATTGAAGCAATTGTCAAAAAGAAAGGAAAATCAATATCAAATTACTGTGATCTAACAGCTGATAATAAAAAAATGAATGAATTTGATAAAGCACTTGTTGATTTAGTCGATCCTCTACTTCCGGTTCGTGGACACGGCATAATTACACTTACTAAACTAATAGAAAGTAGACATCCAGAAACGACTCTTAAGAAAGACTTACTTTTATGCATTTTCCAAGTTAGTAATACATACATTTGTTTAGTTTTTTTTATTTCATTACTCGATCGAGTAACGATTTTTTATGAATTTAGGAAAACTTGGATCATGAAGATTCTTTTATATATTTAGCAGCAATTAACGGACTTTGCGCTTTGTCGTCAATGTTTCCAGAAAAAGTTCTTGAAATATTGGTCCACGAATTTATTGGGCTTACACAGCAATTAAAAAATCGTGACGTAACACCAGAAACAAGAGCTAAACTTGGAGAAATTCTTGTTAAGACGACGAGATCTTTAGGTATTGTTAATTTTATTGTAAATTAATTCTATTTAATTTATAATCGTTTTTATGATAATCGATTTCTTCTCAGGCGAAGTCGCACCGAAGTACAAAAGTTTGTTAGTAAACGGTTTCCTATGTGGGACAAGAGATCCTGATGCATTAGTACGAGCTTCAAGCCTTTCGTGTTTAGGGGAATTATGTAAGATCATGGGTTTTAGGCTAGGAACTTTGATAATAGAGGTGAATAGCTTTAACATTACTATATTTATTTTCAACTGTAATATCTGTAACAACCTATTTATGTATAAATTTTTTCAGATTTTATATTGTATTGGATGCATTATAAAAACTGATAAGGACGATAGTTGTCGAAGAGCTGGCGTTCTTGTTGCAACTTTGTTGCTTCGAGGACTCGGAAAAGATACCTTAACTGAACTTGGCGAAAACCTGGTTACTCTTTATCGAAGTCTCAAGTATTTGCGAGATAATGATAAAGATGTAGTTTTACAATTACACGCTCAGCTAGCTCTCGAAGAATTTGACGACATCGTGCAACAATTTTTGTTCGCCAAACCGAAGCTTGAAAAGTCGATATTTTTACTATCTGATTAATTTTTGTGATACGTTGTAGGTAACGAACTCCCAAAGTTGTTTACAAATCAAATCCTTTGATATTTTTACAATTTATGTCGCCAATTATTAAAAGATAAATGTACATTTAAAAAATACATTTAGATTAATTTTCAGAGCACGATCAATTTCACTTGTTTCACACAAACCCTAAAAAATTACAATTTACTATGAAATATTTTGTAAACAATTGCACTGCAATCAATTAATCAATCAATCAATCATAGTCATTTCTCACAATGGATTGAACTACCAACAATAGTTAATAAAATGTGATATCCTCAGAGAAGGCGCCAGCCATACGAATACTGTCTCGGTCGATGCTGACATACAGGCGGTGCGGTTGCTGTGTAGAGGCGATCGTAGGCCGGGGAGACATACCGCGTAGAATGTATTCCTTGGAGGTAGGTCGGGAGAAGGGCTTAATCTTGTCGGGCGACAGGTCCGCTTCAGCAATGCCAGTTGTCATTAGATAGGCCGCCTGCGTAATCAAAGTTAAATCTGTCACTACAGCGCGAAACGTTCGGAGCTCCCGATGTAATTACGAAAGGCTCGTAGGGCACAAAAACAAGAGAGGAGAAGCTGAGATCGAACCTTCTGAGCCTCGAAGAACATGCTGGTGATGCGATTGCCAAGCGGGCCAGCGGAGGCTTTGGGAACGGAAACCTCCTTAGAGCGCATCAATTGAACGAGGAAAGACGTGAATTCCTCGTCGTGGGAATGACTTTCGCCGGCAGGCGCCAATTTCAGCTGCAGAGACTTCACCTGGGCTATCAGCGTCTCGAGGATTTCGATATCCCTGGTTATTTCCTGCAAGAGCGTCCGTGATTGGGCAACCATCCGCGCGAGCAAGCGCTTCTCGGCAATCTCGAGCGCGCGCCGAGTTGCGACATCGGCAGCAGCTCCCCATATCTTACCTCGTAGACTTGCAGCTTCTGACTGATCGGCTTGGTGGCGTACTGCAGCCGATTGTGTATGCTCTGCACGACGTCCAGCAGATTGGGCATCGCCTCGACCTTCTGTTCGCGGAGAGTGGCGAGGGCGGCGTGGGCCAGCACCGGCAGCAAGAGCTGGCTCACTTGACCGATGCGCCTCGAGGCCAGGTAGTGCAGCGCCTTCTCGGCCTCGCGCGTGTCGTCGAACAGGCGCTTCTGGCGGTGCGCGGGCACCGGCTGCGCCGACTCCCACGTGCTCGACCACGGGTTGTTGGCGATGAGCATGCGCTGCGACAGGCGTCCCGCTGGCTGGCCCCACTCGTCCAGACCCTCCTCCTCGATCCAGTCGCGCGGCGAGTACCACCTGATGAAGTCCTCCAGCTGGGCCGATGGGTTCGCCGCCTGCGCGCACGATCGGGCATGGCTTCGGCTGCAGATTTCGCGCGCGTGTCGATCGACGCAACCGAGCGATGCTATTTGCGTGCGCTCGTCGCGTTACCGTGCCGGGACCGCCGTGGATGCTTTTTCTTGGCGAGGAGTGCAGAGAAGCGTGGCTGTGTAGCGCGTTATCGCGGCGGCATGGCCCAGCCAGCGGAAGCGAAGCCGAGATAAGTCGCGCGCAGCTGCTCACGACATACGGGTGTTGCGCGATAACGACGCAGGCTATTCCCGAGATTATAAGCGGGTCGCCGGCGGCGGCGCGTCGAAAGAAAAGCAACGAAAGGCAGGCACCAACCTTGAAAGATTCCATATCGGAGAGCAGGGAGGCACTCATGAGCCTGGCTCTCATCTCGGAGCCAGTCTTGTCGGTGCCGAGCTGCATCATAACTTGGGCGTCCTCCTCCAGTTGGTCTTCGGTCTTGGGTACGGGGTCCTGCGTGACGGGCAGATAGAGCGCTTCGCCGGTTCGCACGAGCCGAAGAGAGGGGTGCTTGGCGAGTCTGCCGAGGGGCCGGTTCCACGGTAATTGCTGCTCGCTTCGCGACTCTTCGTTCAGACACTCGAAGAACTCGTCTTCCTCGGAATCGCCTGCGATGTACGCAACGAATGAGCTCGAAACACAAAGCAGTTTCATAGAAGAAGCATTTTAAACGGCAGTTCTGTTGCTCAGATCTGCTAGGCCACCAAAAGTATAAGAAAAGGGAATGGGGGGGGGGGGGGGGGGGGGCAGAAAAAATAAAATTCTACGACGCAGCCTGCTATTTTTTCGCGAATTACGAGGCTGCGATAGAGGCGATGTGCGCGCGCAGCTCATCGTTGTACTCTTGGAGCGCTCGTAAAAAGCCTAATTGAGGCTCTCTCGTTACGTTTATTAGGCCTTTTTTTTCAATTACGAGAGCACGTCCAGCATCTTTCTCGGCGATTTCTTCTCTCGCGCCAACATACTTTCCCGATCGAAAAACACATGTGAAACACGCGATCTACGCGAGCTCACCACTGCTCTCGGCGACGTCCAGTCTCTGCTCCTTCTTCTCACAGTCCTCGCGGGCTCTCTTGCGGGCGATGCAGCAGTTGATCATCTGCGAACAACAGAACGAGCCAGGTTCGTAGAGCAGCTGTCGACGGGTCAGAGCCGCGCGCGACGAAAACGTGAAAACGCGTGAAAACGTGAGAAGCGGAACGGCCAACTTTGGTAGCGCGGGCACGTAATGCTCCGACCTGATTCGCTCCTCCTCGGCTCGCTTCGCTTATCTCGTTTACCTGGAGCTTCTGGTGCAGCAGGCAGGTGCGCACGCAGTCCGGGAACCCGGGGCCGACTCTGCAACAGAAAACACGCCTGATTCGATGGACGATACTCGGCCAATGTTGCGATGATGCATTTCGCGGGGGGCTACGAATGCGAGGAATAGCGACGAGCGCTTCGGCGCGCTAATTGCATTGGAGCTGCGAGTCGGCGATGGGAGCGCGATCTCCGCGGATGGTGCATACGTGTGTAAACGCGTCGCGCATGCATGCCAAAGAAAGAGAGTGAATGCGCGCGTAAAGGGCGGGGGGCGGGAGGGGGGGGAGGGGAGAAGAGAGGGGTGCCGCCCGTGGCTGGCAGAAGCGTGTCACTAGTGCGGCTAGCGGTGTAGCCAGCCTCGCAGTTGGGCCCTTGATTTGTACGTTCTTCGCCGGCGCGGAACGAGTTTGGCAGCGAGCTGACCGATGCACACACTGACCCATAATTGGCGAGCCGCCGGCCGCGCGGTCCTCGAGCGAGCGAGTTTGCGGCTGCGTAAGCCACGTAGAACAGCTGACGATCGGGGCTTAGACGCCAGCGCGTGTACGGCGGCAACAGGTGGCCGATGACCCCGTCTCTCTCTCGCTTGCTTCCGCCTTGGGAACGCGTCGGATGACTCAACTAGGGAGCAGCAGCGCGACGAGCCGAGGGTGGATAGCCGAACGAACATCGGCGCGGAGCGGGCAGGGGGCCGCGAGTGTGGGATAGCAGGTAGGAAAGGTGGAGGTGGCGCGAGCAGCGAGAGGGGGGCGTCGGCGTTCGCGCGCGGCCAGGTAAGGAGGGAGAGAGAGACGGACAGGATTCCTTGGCTCGCGCTCTCTCTTGCTCCGCCGCCGCCGCCACCGCCGCCGCGGCTGCCGAGAGCTCGGGCAGTCGGCCCTAAGGAAGCCTAGCGCTCGCAAGTCTGCTCGTGATCTCGCGCACGCACTCCGCTACTGGCTGAGGGCTCGAGCGGTGCGCAACCAATCAGTCGCGGCTCGATATTATGCTGCCGTCGTGAGCTGGGCGCTCGCTGCCGGTCTGTCTCCGTGTCCGGCCCCCGTGGCCATGCCAGCGCTGGCCGGCTGATCTAGCGCGCGCGCGCGCCCGTTCGCCCAAGAGTCCGAGGAGAGCAACCGGAAGCCAGCCGAACCAAGCGAGACAGCGGCGAGGACGAGCAGCCGCACTCGACATGCGTGAGTAGACGCACCGCACCACTAGACCAACCTCGGGGTGAACGTCCCGCGGGCCTATAAATAGCGGCTCCGCTTCTTCGTTCGAGAGCAGTCGCGCGACGGCGGCGGCGGCGGCGGCGTCGACCTTGAACCGACCCACGGCCAACGCCACGGGCTAGTATTCTCCAGCGTACGCGCTCGTTCGCGCTCTCGTTCGCCAAGCGGCTCGCTCTGCTTCTTTTTGGGATGCGCCGGCGATCGCGCGCTTCGCCGATCGTGCGTGGCGCCGCTCGACAGGCCTGGCGAAAAGTCGGCGCCCGATCGATAATTTTCATAAACTCAACGACAAAGAGCCGCGCTCCGCGCGAGCGTCCCTTTCGTTACGCTGTTAATGGGCGTGCGCCGGCACTTTTTGTCGCGTATCCCGCGCTCCGCTCTTGGCGACCGTATATTTACACGCTTTCTTGTGTACGGTCTCGCGGCGGCGGCGGCGAGCGAGAGCAGCCGAGAGGGGGGAGGGGGGAGGGAGGCGCGGAGAGAATTCCAGCGGGGCCAGTGCTTTACGGTATGCCTGGAACGCTATTTAAATAGCAGACTATAAACGCACTCGGACCGCGCAGCGCGAGCGTGCCTCCACTATTTTCCTGTTCTCTTCTCTCTTTGCTCCTCGCCTTCTTCTCCATTCCCATTCTCCGCTCGTTCCACACTGCTCCTCCCTTCCGTCTCCGGCCTCCCGCAGTCGCCGCGCCGAAGGCCCATGCCTACGCTGCTCCCGAGCCACCGCACCGGCGAGCAGGAAAACATTGCGCCAGCAGCGGCGAAGGCGCATTAAGCATCTCATTGTATAATAACTTCCGTAAAGGTACAATGAAAGCAATTTTCATTGTCGTTTCTCGGCGTCGCGGGAACGCGCATACCGGCGCATACCGGCGCATGCAGGCGCACTGCCGAATTCAATTACTCACCCGAGAGATGTACCAGGGACGCAGTCGCGTCATCCGACTTTCACCCGAGAGAATTCCGAAATCATCGTCAATTCGTCGGCGCCTTCGGGCTTATGGAGTCGGAATTAATCATTCGGCGCTGGCCCCGCACTTTCGGGACACGGGTGCTTCCGAGCGTCGGCCTTTTTGGCGCGCCTTCCACCGTCGAGCCGCGGCGTTACGCGCGCGCCAGCTCGTCTAATAACCGGAAGCTTTTAATTAGAGCGCCGTTCGCGCGACGCAAATTCCGCGTCGAAGACGGAATTGGTCGAGCGCGGCCAGCGCGGTTGGGCAATCGGCGCGCAGGCACGCGGACAAGTAGGCCATTAGAGAATTGTCGAAGCCACGGGGCTGGGAGCCGAGGGAAAAAAAAGAGTTGATTGCATTGGCGGCGAGCGGAGCGCTGAAAGATGAATGTAATAAGCGGCGCGGCAGCGAGCTCGCGAGTAATCGCGAAATCGCGCTCGCGCGCGAGAGCCAGCTAACCCAGATTCGCCGCGAGAGCGCCGCGCGACGCGCGGTCTGTCGCCAAGGCGGGCGAGGAATTCTCATTTCCGGAGAGTTGGCGCTTCCGACCAATTGCCTCCGGCAGCGGCCAAGATGAGCCGCCGAGATAACATTTTTAATCGATCGATCCCCCCTCCTGTCCCCCCAGCCCCGCGCGAGCGAGCCGCGCGGATAAGTGCTCGAATTAGTCCACCGGACGTGCCGCCGGCGCGCGCCGTGTTTTTACGCGGTTCCCCCATTACGTTCCCTCGATACGAATCAATCGGCGCGAGAATTTCTCTGCCGTCGCTCGCTCCCCTTCCTGCGCTTGGCGGGCAGGAAAGCAGCGCGACGTCGGATCGTCGCGATCGACCGATCGACGGCAGAGTCGCGCGGTAAAAACGCCGAGCGAGAAAGCACGCGCAAAGCGCTCTCGGAGAATAATCGAGCTACGCGCACGCAGGTGCGTTTCGTTGGCGCAAGACACCCAGCCGCTGCTATCCATTGTATCGCGTATTTTCCCGCGCCGTTTGCGAAGAAGCCGCGGTTCCACCCAATACAATCGTCTCTCCCTCGGCGCGTGCGAGACACGACGAATTTCTCCTCTGCCTGCCTGCTTTTCACACGCGCGCGCCTTTCGCCTGGCACGTCCAGTCGAGCGACGAGTGCCGCGATTCCATTGCGACACGGCGCTCGGATGATCTCCGACTGGCTCTGCACGCGCGCGCGTCGCTATTTGCGACATTGCGACACGTCGATCGCGGGGCTGGCGGCAGCGCGACCGACGCTGACGCTCGGCGTCACGAGAAGTCGCGAATCGATCGCGAACGGATGAGCGACGCGTCGACATCGTCGTCGTCATCGTCGTCGTCGAGCGGCAAGCTCGTCCACGAATCGTCCAATTTCTCGGCTCGGCGCGGCTTTCGCAAGCGATTCCGAAAGAGATTATAAATTGCAGCGCGCGAGTCGCGCGGCAGTCGGTTCGGGCATTACTCGCGAGAGCGGCGCGCACAAGTGAATGCCAGCCGCCAGCTGAAAAGTATACCAACGGTTCGATACTTTCCCTGCGCGTCGAGCGCTCGGCTTGGGCTATCTGCGTACGCGAGCCGTCCTCTCTCGCCGATACACTTTTTAAACGAGTTTCGCTCGCTCGGCGGCGGCGACGACCAGGCCGAGCGCGCGATCGGCCGAATCTCGCGCTCCGGTTCGGGCCGCGCCAACGTGCCTCCCGCCCGTGACCGGAGCTTTCTCGAGCTTTTGTCAACGTTTCCCACGCGCGCGAATTAGCATGCCACGGCGAGCGCGCCGCCAAACGCCCATTAGCATTTGGCGCGCCGCCTTGTATTTCGATCGAGGAGCGAGCAGCTCCGATGCTGCGTCGTACTGGAAAGTCTTTGTGGGCTCTGCATCAACGCCAACGGAGAATTAATAGGCCGCGCGCTAATAAAACAAAAATTGGCGATCCATTAGCCGGCAGCGAAACGATCTCTCCACCTTGCGCTTATTCAAATTCACCTGCGTCTGCGCAAGCGCTAATAAATCTGCTTATGCACGACGCCCGTAAACCGGTCTTCGCGGCCACCATGCATTATTCATCCGGAGAATTTTCAACAAAGCTCTCAATTACCCGGCGCAGCGGCGAGCTTGCCATGCACATCGACTCTCCATCTCTCTCTCTCTCTCTCTCTCTCTCTCTCTGGGAGATCCGCCAGAAAGAAACAGAAAGAAAACGAGCGACGCGCGTGCGGTGCGCGCACGCTCCAGTTGGCGCTCGAGATCAGCGGCAGTCGAAAGCTGGATCGCGCGCTCGCGGCCAGACAGCCGGAACGGAGCGCGGAGCGGCGCGAATAACGTGCAAACGCTCGGCGGCCGCGACACCGTGGGCCCCGTCGATTATCGGCCTATAGAGAGCGATGCTAATTGGTGCCTCGGTGGCGAGCCGCGTGCGCGAAACCCAAACCTGGTCGGCTGCGACCCGAGCGAGATCGTCTCTCACTCCCGGGAATGCCGCTCGTGCTTTTCCAATTTGACGGCTTTAGTGGGAATCGTCGGCGTTCGTTTTATAATGCAGCGGCCCGTTGTTTTTTTTGTTCGACGCCGCGAAGACCGCGAGAAAGGACAAAGAAACCCGAGACTCTTTCGCGAGCATCGATGCTCGCGCGCGCTGCGAGTAATCGCCCGTCCAAGACGTCAGCCAAACAACACCTGGCGAGCTTCCACCTGAAGAAAAAGGATCCCGTAACGAATCGAGCGACGGCAAGAAAAAGCATTGGCGGCACTGCCGCCTGTAGGTGAATCATAAAACCCGAGAGGTATAATCGACGAGCGGCCAGTCAGCCGGCCAATGAGCGATATAACAGTATATCCGACGCCGCGCGACAATACGACCCGTTAGCGCGTCGAGTCGTCGCCGCGCGGCCGTGCGAAACGCGCGAGCGCGCGTCGCAGGCATCCTCGCGAGGAACCGCCGAACGATTTTCACTTTTGTTCGCCGCGCGACGAGGCGCGACGCGCGGATCGTCGACAAGCCGGCCGCTTCGTCGTCGATTCTTAGCTGCCGCGGCTTCGCCTTTTCGTCGGGCTTTCCCACAGCCGCCGACAAACGGCGCGAAAGAAATTTATATAACGCAACTCGATTCCCACGTGACGCCGGCGCTCTGCGCCGACGGTGCGTGGCGAGCGGCACGGGCAGAGCGAGCGCCTCCGCGATTCGCACAAGGGACTCGGGCGCCGTCGCGAGTCGGACTTTCGGCCGCGGGCGGAAGTAGGTGCCCTGCCTCGCGGAGCTAAGGACCGCGGCGAGAGATCGCGAGCACCTCGAGCCGATAGCGGCTGAACGACGAACGGTTGTGTCGTCGCGGCCTGGCGTCAGCGCTGTCTGGCGAAGGTCTTTGAACTATTCAAATGTAACGCGCGCCGCATTTGTGCTTTGCATTCAATGTGGATTTGCATCGAATAAGAGAGTCAGCCGATGTACATAGGTGCGCGCCTACGTTCGCTTGGCCGCGATATTGTTTCAAAGTCGTGCTGCAGTCGCGAGCGCGACGCGACCGGTCCCGCGCAAGCAACACGTGTATCGCTTATCCGACAGGATCTGCGCCCGCGCTGCACACTCGCGCACCAGTGGCTGGATGTAAACACGGATGAGGCGACTATTTTTGCGAGAAACTGCAACTACTTAGGCAGGCAATTTATCGCTCAGTCGCCTGACCGTAAACTTTGATTTTACGGCTGCTGCTGCGTACTGCGGCCGAGCGATCCCCCCCCCCCCCCCCCCCCCAACACTCTACTCGCTGGCGCGACTGGGGAACAGGTTCCCTAATGAAATGCGGCAGCGATCGATAGAGCAATTGTAGAAGATATCCGTTTGCGTTAAGCAGCGTAAAAATGCTGCGAGCGCGCGTTAATTAGGTCGGCCGAGCGTACACGTACCTATCGCAAACTCGCTTGTCCGTGGCGCGTAAGATCCCCGCGCAGTCTAGCGAGCTCGCCGCTTTTCTCTCCTCCTTTTTTCTCCTGCTCTTATTCTTCCCTCGCGGAGACACGAACGCTCAGCAGACACGCATCGGCATAAATTTTACTTCTCGTTAACCTCGTTTTCTCGCGCGCCTCGTGAAACCCGTCAAATTTTCAAGACGCCACTCTTACCTTACGATTGTTTGCTCTTCCACGATTGACGAGCCTTTCGCACGTTACGTCTGCGACTCTCCCCGCGGCTATGGAAACGAGCGCGCGCGACATTGTTGAGCCTAAGTTGGAGCGGATCCGCTTGCGGCGCAATTGCAGCGATCGCGGAGGGCTGAAGCGTATTTTGTTGTGGCAGGCACGCGGGACAGTCGATTTCGCTCGATACACATTATTCGATCGCTCGGAGCGAGTGGGAAAAAGACGCAGGGAATTGCGCGAACGTAACGCGCCTAGCCGTCGTCGGTGATTTTCCCTCTGCGAGTAACCCACGCGAGCGCGCTCGCAAGCGTGTGTGCTCGGGCAAGTGGAGTACGTACGTCGAGCGTGTGCCTGGGGGCAGCATCCGAGCGCGTTGCACACACACACACACACACACACACAGGCTACCTGCCAGGGAGAGGTGGGAGGCTGCGAAGGGAGCCGCGGGAACTGCGAAAGTGAAAGGCCCGTGCGCAACTGAGAATTCCTGCCGCGCATTGGCGCCGCGAGCACGTGCATGCATCCGCTGATCGTTCTCATTGATAGAGAGCGAGAGGCCGAATTGGCTCTCCGTACGGCTGTCGCCCGATTTCCGAAGCTGCGCCGGGCGGCCGCCGCTACCACCGCGGACACGCGGCCACTCGCGGTCCCGAGCTGCCGCTGGCGCTGCTCTCATTAGTGCGCGATGCACGCACGTGTGCGCGCGTGGCCGCCTTAGCAAGTGTTCCGCGGAGCCGCGGCAGAGGGACGACGCGCACTAATTGCGAATCTCTCCCGGCGCGACTGCACCGGCTGCGCGCGCGCGCCTCGTCTTCCGAGGCGGACTCTCAATCGGCACTGACTCTGCTCGTAGGCACGAGGCCGACAGCGTCGATGCCGCTGACCGCGCTGGGGCTGCTGCTGCTGCTGCTGCTGCCGGCCGGCGGGCGAGCTAACCAGGCGAGCTCGCCGTGCCCCTGGTCGGCGCAGGCGCTGGCCGAGCTGGAGAGCTCCTGCACCTGCGACTACAACCTGGCCCGGGAGCTGTCGGTGCAGTGCGACGCCGTGGACTTCAACCAGCTGATCTCTGGGCTGCGCCGCTTCGCCCAGGCGCAGGCCAAGATCGATCTGCTCTACGTGAACAACAGCACGATCGGCGTGCTGCGGAACGGCTCGTTCGCCGGCTTCCGCATCGCCAACCTGCAGCTGAGCGGCTGCAGGCTGCGCGGCCTCGAGCCCGAGGCGCTCGCCAACCAGGAGGCCAGCCTGCGCAGCCTCAACCTGCGCGACAACGAGCTCGCGGAGATACCCAGGGCGGCGCTCGCCGACCTGAGGAACCTCACGGTGTTGGACCTGTCGCGCAACCGGATCAGCAGGGTGCCCGAGCACGTGTTTGCCGGCCACCGGCTGGTCACGCTCAAGCTGGCCGGCAACAACGAGCTGGCCCTCGAGTCGGCGAGCTTCCGCGGCCTCGAGGGCTCCCTGAAGAATCTCAACCTCATGGGTACCCGGCAGCGCAGGCTGCCCGAGGCCCTCAAGGGCCTGGCCGCGCTGGCCTTCCTCGACCTGTCGCAGAACAGCATCCGAGAGCTGGGCGGCTCGGCCGGCTTCCACGGGCTCGGCTCGCTCACGGGGCTCAACCTCGAGCGCAACCTCATCCAGGCCATCGGCCCGGACGCCTTCGCGGGCGTCGCCGCCAGCCTCAGCTCGCTCAGCCTGCTCAACAACTTGATCCCCGAGTTCCCGATCGCCGCCATCTCCACGCTGCGCGAATTGAAGGTTCGTACGCGGAGGCGCGCCACCTGGCCCCGCGTCGCGTTTCCGCGCCGTCGGCTCGGCGGTTGCGCAATTGGGACGCCGTCGCGATGGAAATCGAGCGACGAGCGCGCCGCGTGGATTGCACGTTACGCAAGCCGAGGAGCAGCGACAGACGGACCGAGAGCCCCTTGCCTCCGCACCCGGAGACTTTCTCCAGGCGGCGCGATCGGCAATCGGTCGCGCGCGAGGAGACGCGCGCACGCGTCCCGGGCACTCGCGCACTTCCAGCGATTTTCCGATGATAGGCCCCGGCGCGTTCTGGAACACGCGCCCGCACGCGACTCGCCATTGTCGCCTTTTTCCCACACGAGTGTCGGCCGCCCTATCAGATCGAGCATGTATGACAGAAAAGTGTCGAAACAGCCGCCTATTATTATTGCCGAGAAAGAGATTAGTCGTTTCGTCAAACATCCAGCAGGCGGTTCGCACGCGAATAATGCGCAACCGTCGCCGGAAAATCCTCCGAATATCGCTTATTGCCTCGCGCTCTCCGTTCCCTTCGCCGCGACGGACGCTCATCCCATCGGATCTAGAGCGCGACCGGGCGTGGGCGTCAAACGTTTCGCCGCGCGTTTTCCGCGGCCGGCAAAAGCGCCAGACGGATCCCACGGATGGTCCCGTCCGGTTTCTCGTTCGAACGACCGCGGACTCGACGAGCTGTGGCGCGTGCTGTTTGCGGCGCGCCTCATTTACAGCCAGCCGCAGTCAGGGTTAATCAGCCGATCTATATTCGGCGATCGTCCGATTGCGACGCGAGTCGGACGCGCGTGGACGCCGCGCGCCAACAAATAGCCGTGAGCTCGGACTGAAGATGCCCGCCCACGCAGGTGCTGGACATTGGCTTCAACCTGATGACCGAACTGCCGGTGAGCGCCTTCCGAGGCAACCCATCGATCACGCTGCTGGCCATCGACGGCAACCCGCTGTCGACGGTGCCCGAGGAGGCGTTCGCGGGGCTTAACGGCACCCTGCGGGGACTGAGCTTGGGCGGCCGATTCCTCGTGTGCGACTGCAAGCTCCGCTGGATCGTCGAGTGGATACGAACGAGGGACCTGCAGGTGACCAGCCGGGAGAGCAAGCCGCAGTTCTGCGGCAGCCCGCCGAGGTTGCAGGACCGCAATTTCTACTCGATCAAGCCCGAAGGTAAGCGAGGCGAAGCGCACGCCAAGCGAGCGCAGCTGATCGAAGCCTGTTCGCAGAGATGACCTGCGAGAGGCAGGCGGAGATTGTGGGCATCGGCACGGTGGAGAGCGTAGAGCCGAGCGGCGCCATCCTCGAGGCCATCGAGAACCAGCAGCCCATCCCCACGGAGTCGAATCCGAGCCCCAGCCCCAGCCCCAGCCCCAGCCCCAGCCCGAGTCCGAGCCCGAGCCCGGGGAGCCTGGGCCCCAGCACGTCGCGCATCACCACCGGCGCGAGCAGCTTCGAGACGAGCACGGCCGGCAGCGCAGGCGCGCCCGCGGCCACCCATACGCCCACCACGCTGGCGCAGCCGGCGCCGACCGCCGCGGGCAGCGCGGTCACCAGCAGCAGCCGACGCCCGGCGGGCAGCGTCTTCGTGACGCGCACCAGCAGCGCGCCGCGGCCGCCGCTGGTGCACGGCTCGTCCATCTACCGCAAGGGCCAGGACAAGGACATCGTGATTCGCGACGTGCTGCGCGAGGACGACTCGCTGATCATCCGCTGGGACAGCGGCTCCAGCGCGCTGGGCTTCCGCGTGATCTACCGGCTGTTCGGCAACTCGAGCTTCCGCTCCAGCCAGACCCTCGACAGCAGCGAGCGCGAGCTGCGCATCAAGAACGTGCCCTCGCAGGAGTGCATCGTGGTGTGCGTGCTGGGCGCGGAGGAGCCGGCGAGTCCGAACCCCGGCCAGGTGCCGTTCAGCCAGTGCCGCGAGGTCCGCACCGAGGCCACCAACATCGACCGCATCACCATCGCCGCCTCGGCGGCCGTCTGCCTCACCATCGTCGCGGCCGCGCTGGTGTTCGTGCTGGCGAGCCGCCGGCGCCGGCGTGCCAGCTCGCGCAAGCTGCGCACGCTGCAGGAGCCCGGCAAGCTGCCGATCGCCGGGCTGCCGGTCAACTGCTGCTCGAGCCTCGTCGGGCCCACGCCCAGCCCCGGCGGCATGGGCGCCCCGCTGCCCGGCACCGGCGCCTCGCTCAGCGCCTACAGCGTGCAGAAGGAGTGGGACCAGCTGTCGGCCTACAGCACGCGCAGCATCCCGCGGCCGCGCATCTTCCCGGTGGAGCGCCAGGGCTCCGTCACGCGGGCCTCCTGCCTCGAGGACGCGGCCGGCCCGCAGGCGCCCGGCCCGCTCGGCGGCCCTAGTCACGTCCGGGGGCACTACTTCGCCGGCGCCTCGCTCAACTCCAGCCTCGTTGGCTTGGGCGCGCGCGCAGGTACGTAACCACCGCCGCCGCCCGCGGCGCAGCCCGGCGAGCCGCTCGTCGGCTGGCCGTTGGCCACCCCGCGCGCGCGCTTCCATTGCCTCGGCCCGTTGCCGCGCTGGCCAGCAGCACGCCTGCCAGAGCGACGGGCCGGGCCACCGGCGCTAGACGTTCCAGCAGAGGCTCTCTACATAAGCGCGTGTCTATCTTTCGTTTCAGCCTATCGTCCTTATCGGGAGTGATGCTCTTAGGCGATCTCACGCGTGCGTCGCGCCTTACTGTATTGTTTGCAGAGCTGCGGCACTCGAGGCAGTCGCTGGCTGCGGCTGCGGAGCGCATGGGCGGCGCTCGCTGTTTCCCGTCCGCGGCAGGCGTTCAGCTGGCGCCGCAGGCGCAGGGCAGCGCGCGTCGGCAGCGGCCGCGCTCGAGGAACCGCGGCGGCGACCCGGGCCTGCCGCGGCCCGGCAGCCGCTACAGCCTCGCCGAGTCCACGCACACGCTCAACAACTACGAGGAGAGCAACTGGACCGACCACGACATGGACATCTACATGGCGAGAAACCCTACCACCCGGGGTGGACTCGTGCCGCTCTGATCGCCGCCCGACTTGCTGCTGCCGCCCGCTTCCGGGCAGGCCGACCGTCGTGCGACTCCGCGCCACTGCCGACGGTGCGAGCAGCAGCCGCCGCCGTCGCCGCTGCTCGCGGCTGCCCAATTATGCTTTTTCGTACTTCATTCGTAACGCAACTTACCCACGCGCCGACGAGAGCTACAACCAAGTGCAATAACTATTTTTATTTTAACGAGTCAATCTGGAATTCGATTTTACATGTACACCTATATAGTCAGCAAAGCGAGATTATCATTATTGCAATAAGCTCCGACGTCTCCCACCCCCCCTCAATCAAACCAAGCACTGACTGAATATACCTGTATAATTATAGCGACTCGATGCGGCTCGAATTACGAGTGTTCTCTGATCACGTTATCTATTATACAATTATCTAGACCTATATGCACTTGTTCAAAGCGTACAAACTCTACATTCCTTCGATTTTGTTTTATCTTCTCTTTTATATTATTGTTTTTTCTACTAGATTATGTATAAGAAGCCGTTAAAGGCTCAATTATATTAGATAGGACCTATGTGAATAAATCTGGTGCAAAAATTATTAAATGATAAACAAAAAAAACAATGTATATGCGTAATCGTAACCGGCCAAAGACTGCAACGCGAAAGACAATCCCAGCAAAGCTTTTCGCCTTGGATTACGACGATATTATTTGTACGTAATAAGTAAGCGACGACACTCTGTGCAATGAGAGACAAGTTTACGTTCTAGTTAAGCAACAACACGCTCAATCAAACATATAGTATTCTCGTTCGGTTATATTTTGTACATATATCAAATGAATGAACCAATGCGAGGTGCCGCGGCGGGACCGATGTTATCGTCTCCCCCATTGCAGCGATTTCAAATTATGCGGAATATTTTTTACTGTATTTTTTAAGCGAGCGCCGTCGTCTTATCGACGACGCCATGAACTGCTAATAAATATCGATTATAAATATTCACTCTTACCCTGGTACAGTGATGCCCTTCTCCCATCTGAACCTCACTTCCTGCACGAACTCGTGCCACAGCTGTGCGAGTGCTTGCAAGCCACCTAAGTTGTAAGCACAGTGGGATGCTACAATTGACAGTCGCCACACCAAACTGTCGATAGCGCAAGTTTTGATGCCTCGCCACTGGTCATCGTCGACGCTGTAGCTACTATTCTCGCAGTACGGTGCCTTCTGTAATTAAAATGTTTATTGAAAAAAATTTTTCAATATCTATCGCTTTAAAATGTCATCCATTGAATACATTACTTGCGTTTCCTCGGCATCGGGGAATAGAAAGTAGAGTATCGGCAGCAATACATCTTCTGTTATCGGACCTTCGACGTTTTTTCGTGATTTAGAAGTCGTTCTGCTGACTACAGTTGATATTGAAGGAATTTTTGATTCTGTGAGTATATTAAATGCATTACCAAAAGAATGGGATTCACTATCTATATAAGCAGCGCCTTCTCCCAATAATTCAACTAGACTTTTTTGATTATTACATAACTGTATAAAATGTGCAAGATATTCTCCTAATAAGCAGGCAGGAGAAGAAACCATTTCAACTTGCAGTGACCATTCCGGAGCTGCCTGAGGCTCCAGGTCACTGCATACTTCACTATCAACAAAACCTTTTTCAAATAACTTTGGCCAGCTTACAAATAAATGAAATTCCCTGTAAGATTAATTAAATTTTGAATTTTCGTTACAATAGAAAATTAACATCCATAATAATTTAATAAACTAATACTTGATTGGATCAAAAGTAGCTCCAAATGGTAGTTTTCCTAGCTCATCCACACCAAGAGTTTCCCCCCCCATAAAGTCAAAATCTGGTGGTTCTTGTGTCCACGTGTGGCTTGTCCAATCTTTTAATGTGTATGAGAATCTGACTGATACAGTGATAGGATCTAACCATATTCCATAACCTTCGTTAATCTTTTGTTTAAATAAAGTTAATAACCCTGAAAAATGTCTACAATGAGGAGGAATTTTCTTCAAATGAATCATATTCATGTGAGTTTTTGACCCTTTTCCAATGTTGATACCAAGGTAAAATTTTTGCCACTGTTCCAAAACTTGTACGAAGGCTGCAATTTCACTAAAAATTGATGCACAATCAATTGACTAATAGAGAATAAGAGGATAGAAAAGCAGAACAATAGATTTGCATTGCGCTTCATAAAAAACATTGTTACTTACCAATGTGCATTACTCACTGCGATTGTTAAAGAACTAAGTAAAATTTTTATTTTAGTTTCATCAGTTATCGAGTTTCGTTTAGCTGGCATTAATAATATGAATTCTCGTACTCCATAGTATTGAGCAATTGACAAATCATCTTGATCCAACTGTACAAAATCATTTGTTAGGTTGAATATATCTTTTTGACACTGAGTCCATAATTCCTCATTCTCTTCTGATAAAGCACTACCACTTGCTTGAGATTTATCATTATCCTTTTTTAATCGGTAGTGTTTAAGCAAAAATTCAAAATCTTAAAAAAGTAATTAAACGATTACCAGAACTATGAATATAAATGTGTGTGTGTGTGTGTATAGTTATTAAAATTACCTGCAAAATTCAATTTTTCTGTATTTTCTTCCCATTCTAAATTAATAAAATCACCCGATTCTAAAGGAGGACCTAATGTTACGTGAGATAATTTCCATTCACGAATTATTTCTTCTATTCTTGCGATAAACACTTCCCATTCAGAAGCTGTAGTAAAGTCATGATGATAAACATCATCGATTTCAATATTGTTCATTGTTGAATTTCACAAGCTTTCTTAATAAAACGTTTAAATTATTTTTTTATAAAAAATTTAACTATATTTTTTGACAACTCTTTTGTAACATACTCAATACTGTCTTTGTTGACGTTTTCGACGATCCTCTCATCGATCATGTCACTCACATAATCACTCTCCGAAATATAACGAATTGCAGCCTTCGAAGCGATGGTAAGTGCGATTCCGTTTGTGGTGATTGCTGGATGTTTGCTTAAAAACCCGCGTATTTCGCTTTCCTTTTATTAGATGGCGATGGGTGTCAAACTGAGACGTCGATAAACCAATACGCATGTGTGGTTTTAATCTATATAGATCTAAAAATGGGGCAAGGGCGCGCACTATCAGTTGTTTTGAATTGATCTTGTTCGCGGAGTGCTAATTATTGGAAACCTTTGTAATCAACGTGACTATTTATTATAAAAACTGGTAGAGTGCAAGTAAATGAAGTCATGAATAATACTGATATATCATGAAAATGATGAGTATGTTCTATTATCAAGAGAAAAGGGACATAAGAGAAAAGCTGATTCATTCTCGCGACCGTTCATCTTGAACTACCGAAAGGGCTCCAGGTGGATGCTGGGCTCCTGAATTTTGCCGCGCTATTCCTGTCATTTTCAGAGCAGCGAATTCTGATCTCCACCACTTCGTGAAGAGCCAGGAATCTTATTGAGATGCATAGATCCAGTTGCACAGTTGCAATAAAGAGCCTCTGCGTAACCGGATACATTTTTATCGATAGTACCTCAGGAGCGAAAGTGGTGCTTGAGTGCCTTAAGGGACTGTTTGGTGGGTTAGCATTTAGACGATAGATTTTCCTATATTTTACGATGGGTTCCCATCATTCTCGGAGCTGACGATAGAAGCAAGTCCCAAAGTATCCAGGAGAGCATCTTAGCAACTTGAAGCACCTATTTTTTATTAGTGTCTATCCTGAGTGGTAGTTAAAACGAACTCATAAAATATATGTTTTGTTCAAATCTCGGTCAGCACTCGAAATATAATGGACGTCGCTTTTACTGTTTCTTTTGAGTAGCACTACATTTTCATGTCGAAACTTGTCAATTTTTCCCAAATGACCGTTTATAGTTTAAGAAATAACTAACTTATCAATACGCCTTACGCATTTATTTAAAATCTCGATTTGAATTCTTACGCGTTATTTCTAATTAGTTTACGGATACATGATGATGTACGCATGTGACGTCGGTTCGTCACACCTGCACGGCTGTTTTGACGGGGCGCGATTCTTGAATTAGAATTGAAGATTTATAAGTAATTGCAAATAAATATATTTTTGCATAGCTCATAATGAAAAATTTTATTTCTGAATAAAATAAGAAACAGTGCGCATGTATTGGAGTCACATGACTGAAACGCGTGAATCTTGGAAAGTTTTTAAGCCTTTATTTAAAAATTGTCATTTACGGTGGACAATAGTATGATTAACGATAAAAATAATTTAATTAATTAGTTTTCTGTACCTCGATGCGCATAAGAAACCGCAACAGTTTTTAAAAATTTCAAGGAAACGAACACCGAGTGTGCGAAACCTTCACTTATCGATGAATTGATATAACGTCATGTTACATAGATCACGAACTATCATTTGTAAACGAATTCTTTCTATTCAAACAAAACCGGATAATAATTGACAAGTTTGATAATTAACTTTTCATTAATGGTTGTTGTTGTTGTTGAATTCATTAATCAAACTATTTGTAAAAATCATAGATAATAGGTCTATAATTTTGTATAAATATATACATATTTGTAAACTGAAATGTTCATTCTCTATCTTCAAATGTCCCTTTCATTAGATACCTACATAGATTAATTATTTTACAAATATCTGAAAACCATTGTTTGTAAATTTTTCTCTATTCTACTCAAAGAAAATTGTCACTTAAAAATCTATTCTACTGGCTTCAAAAACTTCAGTTTCTTTCTTTGTGGTTCCACGTTAGAATCAAATTGACTATTGTATGACTTGTGTTTCATATTTGTAACATTGATTTTTGTAGTAGATTTCAATATTTTTGTCATCTGAGTATCAGACACATCAGCATCCATATCTCTTTCCTCTTTTGGAACTTTTGCAAGGTGTTCCAGTTCCAATAGCCTTTCAAGTTCAGGATTTTCACCTTGAAAACTGAGTCTGCCTTCAATCAGTTCCTCGCAGAAAGCATAACTGGCTTCAGTGATAAATCTTCCTCTGTAATCATTAAAAGTATAAGAAACACTTATATCCAATGCACAATGATAATTAAAATATACAATAGATCAAATATTCTACTTACGACTTTTTTGGTAAAGTTTGTTTGCCAAAATACTCTTCTCCTTCTTGTTGAAATGCTTCTTTCTCCACTTTGTCTTTTGTCCTTTTCATGAACTAAAGAGCAGTAAGTTAAAATATAACAGAAGAAGTAAGTTCGTTTTCATCGTACTTCACCATTTTTTAACTTCATTATTTTTATTCCTCAACTTACTTTCATTTCCAGAATGGACTTAGATAAGCTATGTTTGCTTGTGTCTTTCCACGCCATCTTTATTTGCTTTTGTTTTATCAATTAACGAGATAAATAAAATGTTTATTATATGTTTTTCCTTTAATAATTTTGATTTTAGAATCGTCTCAACAGTAATAAAAGAACATTACTCAGTCAAAAAGATATCGTCTTTTAAGGTTATACTGATGTACACAAATACATGTGAGCTTACTGCTCGGTCAGTGCCGTGAATGCTGGTCATGTTGGTAACTGGAGTCTCCACCTACGACAAATCCGATGTGCAATGGATAATGCAGAGTGCAGACAGCATAGCGGCATAGGGAGCCATTTGTTAGAACTAGAAATCTCAGTGTCTCTGACGCGTGACGCGGCGAGTATAGATCTGGTCTAGATAGAAAGCATCAAAGCATCCAAACCTTTATCCCCGTTCGCTTATCTCTATGGCTCTAGATAGTCTTCCTCGCTGCAATATATACTTTTTTTATACGGATTAGTATTTTATAATTTTATAGACAGTTGATTAGCGACAAAAATGGAAGCTGGTGCGAGTATAGGAGCTCGTACGACACGATTTATGATGGAAGGTGTCGGTGCTCGAGTGATTCGTGGGCCTGAATGGAAATGGGGAAAACAGGTTAATTATTGCAATAGACTAGCTTTCATTGTTTTTACTTGTATAATATGATAAGATAGTATTTTTTGATATTATTTGGATATTTTTATTTTACGTACAGCGTAATCATTATATTTAATAAATTATTATTATGAAATCATGGAAACTATTGAAGTAAGCTTACTGTTGTGATTCTTCCAGGATGGTGGAGAGGGTCATGTTGGAACAGTAAGGAACTTTGAATCACCAGAAGAAGTTGTTGTTGTATGGGATAATGGGACAGCAGCTAATTACAGATGTTCTGGTGCATTTGATCTGCGCATTTTGGATTCAGCCCCAACAGGTGTTAAGCATGAAGGAACAATGTGTGACACTTGTCGACAGCAACCTATTTTTGGAATTAGATGGAAGTGTGCAGAATGCAATAACTATGATTTATGTTCTATTTGTTATCATGGTGATAAGCATCATTTGCGACATAGATTTTATAGGATTGCAACACCTGGCAGTGAGAGAGTTCTTTTAGAGCCAAGGAGGAAAAGCAAAAAGGTTAAAAATTCTCTTATATGTTAATGGTTAATGTAACTTTGGTTTTTCTTAAATAGTAAGAGCATTTTGTAATTTTAGATTGCAATTCGAGGAATATTTCCTGGTGCAAGAGTTGTTAGAGGTGTTGATTGGCAATGGGAAGATCAGGATGGTGGTAATGGGAGACGAGGCAAAGTAAATGAAGTTCAAGATTGGTCGGCTGCTAGTCCTCGCTCAGCAGCTTATGTTATTTGGGATAATGGGGCCAAAAATTTATATAGAGTTGGTTTTGAGGGAATGGTATATTTATGTGATTTAATTTTAAATGGAACACTTTTTATATATATAATTTAGTAAATTTAGATGGTAACAAATATATTACATTATAGGCTGATTTGAAAGTTGTAAATGATGCAAAAGGACAAGCTGTCTATCGAGATCATTTACCACTTTTAGGAGAACAAGGACCAGGAAGAGCAGGACCTCATGGTTTGCAAATAGGAGACCAGGTATGTTAATATTTGGGCTTAAAAACTCAAGCTATCTTGAAGTATCTTTGATTAACTCTTGATTTATTATTGTAGGTTAACGTTGATTTGGAATACGAAATTGTTGATTCTCTTCAACATGGTCACGGTGGATGGACGGATGGCATGTTTGAATGTCTTAGTACAACTGGTACAGTAGTTGGAATTGACGAAGATCATGATATTGTGGTATCCTATCCAAGTGGAAACCGATGGACATTTAACCCAGCTGTTTTGACCAAAGTTCAAATATCGATGCCCCTTATAAATGCAACGACCGATAACCAGTCTTATACCGTTGGCGATTTAGTACAGATTTGTAATGATTTAGATAAAATTAAGCTATTACAACGGGGTCATGGTGAATGGGCCGAAGCAATGGCACCGGTACGTATTTCGCGTTTTGTATACATTCAAAGAGAATATATTATTTTTTATCTTTAAAAGAAAGTAAATAAAACTTTAACGATTTCAGACTTTAGGTAAAATTGGTAGAGTACAGCAAATATATCACGACGGAGATCTTAAAGTAGAAGTTTGCAGTACATCTTGGACTTACAATCCACTTGCTGTAACAAAAGTAGCAAGTAGTGACGGAACTGTCACCGGCAATAGTAGCGGAGGTCTGCATTATTGAAATTTGTTGTTGTTCAAATAGAGATAAAAAAGAAAGAGCTTTAAAGTAATACGCGTTCTTTATGATTTTTTTGTAGAGCGGCTGTCGGCACTTTTAAAGAAACTTTTTGAAACGCACGTATCTGGTGACGTTAACGAGGAACTCGTAAAAACTGCTGCGAATGGCGATGCGACGAAAGTTGAAGAATGCTTGAAGCGCCCGGAAGCCGACGTAAATGGCATTTTTGCTGGCTACACTGCTTTGCAAGCAGCAAGTCAGAATGGTCACTTGGAGGTCATTAAAATTCTCTTGCGCTACAAGGCTGACGTAGAAATCGAGGTATGTTAATCAATTATTATTTGTACGTTTTATGTAATGTTTTTGTAGGAACACAATTGCTGAATGAATATATAAATAACACTTGAAACCTGTTTTGTGAGATAAAATGAAACTATTTTGTTGTTGTAAAAAATAATTTAGGACAAGGATGGTGATAGAGCTGTCCATCATGCGGCATTTGGCGATGAGCCCGCCGCGATGGTTTTGTTAGCGGGAGCTGGAGCGGATTTGAATGCGCGAAACAAAAGGCGTCAGACAGCTCTGCACACCGCTGTTACTAAAGGCCACGCCGGAGTTGTCCGTACGCTTCTGGAACTCGGCTGCCACCCTAGCCTGCAGGTATGCATCGCATTTTTCCGAATAATTTTATTTCATATCCGACACGTTCAAAATATACAAGCTCCGCAAAAAGGAATGAGAAAATGGAAAGAATGAAAGAAGGAAAGAAAGAAAGAAAGAAAGACAGAATATTCACGGGCATTGGCTAATATCGCGCTGTTCGACTCGTTCCTGGTGACTCAATCCTACGTCTGCAAAGTAAACGTAGTTTTATTTCACTCGTAGCGAATAAATATTATCTTCAATTTACATTTAATGTCTGAAACATCAGTATAAAATATTCCGAGGGTATTCTTGCGCTAAAAAATCCAATATCCCCGGCGCGAGTGCATAACATTTGGGAGCGTACGAATGCGTTACGTAACGTATTCGTGGAGCAATAGCAATTATTTGCATGCGTTAACGGTGTACGAGAAGGACGAGGCGACGAGCGAGGGAGAGCAGTGAAAATGCATATAATAACAATATAAAGAGGGCCAGCGGCGTTGAAGGTATACATTCATCCAAGAGGTTTATCTTGCAGGCGGGCGGCCGCGGCGGCGTTCCGCGCCACCATCCATTCCACTTCTGGAGCAGTGGCGACGACGAGGACGAGAGGCGGCGTTGCGCCCGATAACGGCCCCGCCAAATCCTCTTAATCCAAAGCAGTCATTTTTTATGGCACTCCGGGCTCGAGCGTGCCTTTATTTGGCCCTCGCCGCTAGCTGCTGCTCCGGTCCCGTGGCCATGGATTTCCCTACGGCCGCGGCGGCTGCACGACCATCTCGTTAAATCTCGCTGCTAGACAGCCGCCCGGCAAGACGCATTATCGTGAATAATGATTCGCCAGATACACTGCGCGCATTACGTGCTTTGATTCTGTTTCCTTTTTGCATTGCTAATAGAGGCAGCGCGAGCTCTCTCTCTCTCTCTCTCGCCGCTGCATCAATTATTTCCTGCGGCCTCGTTCGCTCGACCACCGGATTTCGCCCTCGCGACTTTTACAGAAATGCGAATTTATTACGAGTCGTCGACGTATTGGCATTACCGGCTGACAATCTACTTCTGCAAACGAAACTTTTTAAAAGTTTGCCGGTGCCGCCAGGTGCCCCCCCCCCTCACTTCCCCCGCGATCGTCGCGCGTATTCTTCCGCGAGCGAGAGATTTATCGGCAGTTTTCCAACCACGGATTTGGAATTCTCATTCGTAATACTTATCTGATTGTCATGCGCGCGCGTCGCGGTGCCGGAGCGAGAGGCGTAATTTCCTATTAATTTCTGCACGTGCGCGCGTTCACCTGCAGCGGCGCTTATTTCGGCGCAGCCAGCTCTCCAAAGAATCCTCGAGATAAAATGTAATCCGGAAGCGCAATAAATATCCTCTTTACAAGTGCGCAATATTTCATGGCTTTATTCCTCGTCGGCGAGGAAGAAAACTTGCGCTAAAGCGCAACGTCCACACGGCAGCGAGCGCCCCGAAAAATACAATGATTTATTCGTCCAGGCGGTGATAAATTTTCAATTAAAATCACTCGCGCCGTCCTTCTCCCACGGCGGCGCTTGCACGCTCGATGTACGCCCGAGACTCGGACGGCACGCGTGGCGCTTCACCGCGATTCTCTTGTCGCGGGCGCGCCTCGTCCTCGAGATGCGCGAAAGCAGCACAACGAGCGCACGGATGCGCGGTTCTCGTGCCGCCCCTTTGACGCGAAAAGTCACGGCGAGCGGTAGCTTTTCGAAGGGCTTGCAGCGCATCCACGCACGATCGCTGCGCCTTGGTTAACCGAGTTGCAAATACTTTAATCTCGGCGCCGCTGGGTTCTTTCTCTCGCGAGCGCCGCGAGCAAAGAATCCGAGGGTGGCGCGGTCGTTGCCGTGGCGCTCGCTCGCTGGCGCGCCAGAGAGAAGGAGAGCCTAGACTCGATAGAGGTAAGCTCGGCTAAAGCCCCACTTCTTAACTAGTCGAGGGAATAAGGCCTCGCCCGGCCGTTCGCTGGCTGGCTCGCGCGTCGGCGAAATCCTCGAGTATCGCGATTCGACGGCGTGCGCAGCAACCTAAATGCGGCCCCCGGGCTTTATCTCGGCTCAGCCGGCGCGGCGCAAGCGCCTTCTCGTTTTGCCGCTCGCCGGCAATCCTGCCGAGAAATTTTTTCGGAGTGGCACGCGCGCAGCCCCGATTAACAGTTTTATCCGCTCGCCTTGGCGACAGCCGCGGCCGGCGATATGCGCGCTACTCGACGACGAGCCTGCCCTACATTCGCTCCACCGCCGTCATCATACTTCCGTCGAATTAAAAAAACTCCAATGACTCGGCTTATTTCTTTTGGCAAGTCGCTCCCCTGCCGCGGCCTTTTCATTTGCCTTTATCTCTATGGCTCTACGAGCTCGATTCTAGTTTTACACCGAACGCGACAACGCTCGCTATCGCGAGATTGCCACTGGCGATGCGCGCGCCACTTTGCGAACAACTCATATTCTCATTCGCACTTTCCCGGATACTCGTTGTTCTCAAACGATTCCACTCATGCACGCGGATGCTTATGAGCTTTATTCAATTAGAGACGTTCTCGTCTTCGGCCTCTTTTTTTTCGCTTCTCTATTGAAAAGCAAATTCACGACCCCCGGGGAACAAGAAGTTTTAAAATTCTTTGCGTGTTGGCTGCTTGAAATTGCTTATTTCGACACTCTTTACGAACGCAGAGGAAAAGCATTTTTTCCCATCCCCGAGTTAAGTAGCACTTTTTGCCGTTGCCGTTGCCGTACGTCAACTTTTTCTCTTTTACTTTCGAGCTTTTTCTACAAAATAATTGCTTCTCGGCTAAAATTGTATACTCCAAATTAACCTCATTTTGCCAATCGACTTTTCTTTTCTTATCATTTTTTAATATTTATCTCTTCCCTGCATAATTTTAAGCTTTTCTGTCGGATTCGTCGGAAAAAAAAAGTTTGTACACTGAAAAAAGTTATTGACGTAAAAGCTCAAGCATTATTCAGTAGCAATGAGTATAACAAACCGAATTGAAGAGCACGGAGACAAAAAAGGAGAAACGTGGCGGAAGGAGGAGAGGTGCAGGAAATGTAGCGCTGCTGATGTTAATGGTGATTGTCATTGAATGCGTTGTAGGATTCGGAAGGAGACACGCCACTACACGACGCCATCTCGAAGAAGCGCGAAGACATGTTGGCTCAGCTGCTGGATCATGGTGCTGACATTACTCTCACCAACAACAATGGCTTCAACGCTCTGCACCACGCGGCTCTCCGCGGAAATCCAAGGTAAGCCTTCTCCACCTCCACCTCATCTCCTACTTGCGCGCATTAGCGCCTACCAACTCCATTTCTCCGCTCGCGACGGTGTCGCGATGGAAATATCCCTCCAAATGCGTTGCTGCGCCCAAAGTAGGTCATTCGCCAGCAGGAAAAGTCTACGTCGCATAGGCGTAATCGACAATCGTCGGCCAGCGTACTTGCACGCCGAACCACGCTCAGGGATATGTAGGTATTATATAAGTGGGGCCGCGTGACAGACATTCCGATCGCTTCCTCTAATCTCATCTCCATGAAATCAATACTTATCCGTAATGTCGAGAGGATAGCTCGAGAGCGCAGTTGCTATATGGTCCAGTAACTATGTAGCGATCTGCTCATCCTCAACCCTCGTTCGATCGCCGAAGAAGAGAGAGAGAGAGAGAGAGAGAGAGAGCGCGAGAGAAAGGACGAGTCATCGCTTTTTGCCGACGGGCGGCCGCCACCGCCGCTCCCATACTGCTGCTGCTGCTGCTGCTACTGGCGCGATTAAAATTTCAAGGGGAAAAGCATTCGCAACACGTAGGATAACGTGAGCGGCGTTCCGTCCGTCGCCCAGACGACGCGCCTGAAATATTGGCGAGATATGACAAAAGACGAGGGGCCGTAAATTTTCGCCCGTCGTGCTTTCTCCGTCTGTCTCCCTCGTCCTGCAATTGGCCAACTGCACGCTCGTCGCCGTGTGTGCCCACGTTCGTTTAAACTGCCAACAAAATCGAAGACTGCTCTGTGTGCCGAGTATGTGTACGCGAGCGCGAGCAGCCCATCGCTCCGCTTGCCACGGAGCCCATATAGTCGCGCGCTTTTTTTTTCCTTCGCCGAACAAACAGTGCACGCGCGGAGGTGTTTTTCACCGCTTTCTCGGCTGATCAAGCAACGCCGTTCGCCCTAACGAGATTAGCCGTCTCCTGCCGAAAGAGTGAGAGAGGGGCGGAGGGAAAGCTGCTTTCTTTGCCGAGTGCTGCGAGCCTCACAATTAGCCGTGAAAACAACGCCTGCGATGAAGACGTATGCGTCGAGAAGCAGCGTGATTCGATAAATCGCGCCCTACCAGTATATTCCGTTATTAACGAGATGCCCCGTTGAAATTAAATTTAGCTCTTTGTCGCTTTGCGAAAGTAGATGGTCGCCGAATTCGCGGCTGGATTTGCGTCCGCGGGAGACACGTGCCAAAGCAAACAAAAAACCGTTTGCGATTTGAAACGAAAACATCGACTGAAGGGGCTCATCGCTGATAACCAACTAGCTCTCTTCTCAAAATTGTCAAAGTGGATGAGGCTCCAAGGCAATATCGTACAGTGCGGATAGATTGTTACGCCGGGAAAAGACGAATAGAAAGTCGGCGAGGTGTCTACAGCGAAGGGAAGGATAAATAAAAGCTAGGGGGATGGTGGCTGCGGCAGAGAGGCATCGAGGCTCAAACGAGAGCGTAGGCGATGGCGCTGGGTCGCATATTTTCAAGCGATTCGCCTTTATCAGTCGTGAAAAATTAAAGCGTTACGGCTGCAGCGGTGGGTATCGCGTGACGTCGTCGTCGTCGTCGCCGCCACCGCCGCGTCAAGCGCACGAGGATTCGAAACGATGAAAACCACTTTTGGATATTGCGCCAAAGTCCTTGCGCGCGCGATACGTCCGTATCCGGGGAAGGAGCTGTAAGGGCGGAAAAAAAAAAACAATGGCCTCGGCGCGGGGTGAAGAGGAAGGAAAATAAGGAACGCGGGCGCATCGAAGCGGCCCATTACTCGCGCATGAGGGAGTCGAGAGCATTTGGCTGTAGCGTAGCTGCATAGCCGAGCGACGAGATTACGCGCTGGAGAGGGAGAGAGAGAGCGAGCCGATCGGGCAGCGGCTCATCGCTCTCTCGATTCTCGCTCGTGTATTTCACGCTCCAGAGGATTCTCTCTCTCTCTCTTCTCAAGTGTTTATTATTAGAATTGGCGTTGGTGCGACGCGAGGCTGCTTGCGGCTGCTTAGCATTCCGCCGAAAGCTCGGTGCGTTTAAAATAAGCAAGGGGCTCTCGGTGCTACTGCCGTTAAATAGTGAAATAGTTGGCTGCAAGTTTTGCGGAACTAGCGGGAATGGCGGGGGATGGTGGGGGAGGGGGGGGGGGAGTAATTAGTTGCCAGCGACTGTGCTGGCAGGACGAGATTCGGCGTGCGGCTGCAGCGCGCACAAAACGTCATAATTCAGCCGGTGGGGAAAGCATTAGCGCTCGTCCTCTCGGCATAATCCGCAAATTAAGTGCTGCCGCTCTGCCTCCCTCCCTCCCTACCTCTCGCTCTCGCTCTCTAGCCTAATTTCCGCCCGCCATCTTGGTGACGTAACCTCGAGCGAAGAACACGTCGAGGGCAGTCGCGCATACACGTCTCCGGCAATCAATTGGCGCAGCGTGCGACCGCGTAATAAGCAAGCGGCCAAATAACACAGGTAGAGCGAGCAGAGTTCTTTCAGATGCGATCGCAGTCGATGTGTAAGGCGTGTTGCAGATATAAATCAGCCGAGGCCGCTGGGCAATTACGTGCGGCGCTCGGCTGATTATACGACGTGACGAGAGAGAATCCCGTGGCCACGGCTACGGCAGCTACTCCCAGGACACGCACCAGCGGCAGCGGCGGCGACGTCGGCGGCGGCCGCAGCAGCTCGCGGACTGCTGCTCTAGGCTGCACTTGGGGGGCCAATCTACATACATTTACATGGCGCGCTCGCTTTTAAAGCTCCGGCGCCTTTGTTACGGCACTTGCTCGCGCGACGCTCGGTTCCGGCCAGCCTGCCACGGCTGCGACTTTCGCGCTCCCAGCCCAATGTATTTTCGTTCCGCCCGGATGACAGCCGGAGAGCTGTAGCCCCCCTCCCGGCCCACCTTCCGCCTAGTGCTCCTTGATTTTTCTCTTCGCGCGCGCCCTCCTCCTCCGCCTGCCTTCCCTGGCGCTGTCGCCGGACTCGCGGAACAATGGCCGACACCCCCGCACCTCGGCGCCTACCTGGCCGGACGCGGCGCGACAATTTGCCTGCGAGTTTCGCGCTGCTTGCCTTTCTGCATCGCTTTGACAAACGAGCCCACTTCCTAATCAACTTACGCCTTATTTACGCCGCACGCACCTCTGCTCGCGCTAATTCGCCAACCCACTGTTGTCCTCCGTTTCGCTTTTTCGTCTTTTTTCGCCGACCGCCGGGGCTAATTCTCGCTCGTTGTTTTAGGTCGCCGCTGGCAATTCTCACGCGGAGCGTTTTCGCGCGCTGGGTTTTTTCGCCGATAAACTTGGGCTAAATGAGTTTCTAGCAGTGGTGCGCGCGCAGGTATAACCCAGTCAACTTTTATTTGGACGTTATCCGGTCTGAAATCAGCGAAAACTGCGGAAAGCTGTTACGGGATTGCCATTACATCGCCCTCCCGGAAGATAATCTGCTCCCGGGCCGATAAATAAAATGAAAAAAAAAAAAAGAACGCGAGCAATCGTTAAAAAAAGTAATTTATTCGGTGTTCCACGATCATTGCGACAGTCGATAGCGATAGTTTCCGCGGAATGCGTGGAGCGAGCGGCCGATGCAATTATTTGTTGAGCGCACGGGGCACATCGAAGAGTGATCGGCGTTCCATCGGGCCCGGCGCGGATTATTTGTCTTGAGCGTTGGAAAATCCGAGTGCAGGGCAAAGTTGAGATTCCGCAGCAAGGGAGAGCGGAAATTCCAAAGAAAATCAGAGAATCCTCGGACCGTAGCTGCACGTAGCCGCTTGAGTCGTCTCGGCCGAAGACGTATTGCACACCGGAGAGCGAGGGTAGGAGGGCAGGAGGTATCGCGACATGACGATGTAAATATACCTGTCTCGAGAAGAGCAGAGGAGGAGGCAAGGAGTGGGCAAGATGTCGCGAGTAAGATGGAAAAAGAGCTCGCCTTGCAGAAGCCACTGAAGAGCACTTGGCGAAGAGAGAAAGAGAGAAAGAGTGAGAGAGAAAAGAATCGTTGGATACCGCCCAAAGCGTAACGAAGGCCCGCAGCCCGCGTCTTTTTTCTTCCGCTTGAAAGCCGTATTTCCTCGCGCCGGCACTGCCTCCGCCGCCCCTCTAGAAATAGAGCGCGCCGACTAAAAAACGAATCGCGATAAAACTTTCTCTTCTCTCTGCGATCGAGGCTGCGCCTTCCACCGCTGATCCCCCCCCCCCCCCCCTCCCCGTTTGCTTCGCCAGAAGGGAAAAACAAAGCTAAACTTATGAGGGTACTGCTCGCCCGATTTACATTATACAAGTTGGCCATGTCGCGCGACAGCTGGAGCCAAGACTCCGAATTATCGCGGCGCGGCGGCGGCGGCGGCGGCGGCGGCGGTGGTGGCGGTGGCGGCGGTGACGCCCTAGTCTGGCTGCCCGCCGAGCTTACGTAAGCAGGCGTGCGCGAGCCGTACGTGCATGCATGCAGCCCACCTACACGCAAATATTTGGCCGCGATTTTTCGCCATGAAATTCAGATGAACCCGGTGCGGAATTAGCGCCACTGGCTATCGAGCTTCCGCATCTTTCCACGCGATAATAATAGCGGCCCGAGCAGCTGCGCAATATCTAATTCATCTGCGTATAAATATTCAACGGCCCTGGCCTCCGCGCGATAGTACGGCTATGCGCGCGCGCGTGGTGGCCCACTTAGGCGCACAAAGCACAGAGGCGACCTCGAGGAGATTAGATCATCAATCGGCCCCGAAGCCGCGCCAGGGCGCGCCGTTCTTCTTTTCCAGGCGCGTCCGACGAAAGGAGCAGCGAGGGGCGCAATTTCGAGCATCGATTGGCGCTCGTCGGGCTACTCATCCGGCCGGATCGCGCGCGGCTGCAAGTGGCATAAACAAGTGCGCGCTGTACGCGCCTGGCCGGCGAAGGAGCCTAACGGGTCAGATTAATCGGCCAAATGGACTGGCGCTACTCGCCAGCGAAATTCCGGCCGAGCGCGCGTCAAGATGAAACTGAGCGGGCTAAGCTGCAGC